CTACAAAACAAGAAGACACCTTACTTTCAAAATACTTCAATATCTGAGTGGAAGTGTTAAGCAGCAGTCTGCTGAAAAAACAAGCTCCTGCTTGGCCTGATTTTCTTTCTCTATAATTCTGCCTGTTATTCAGTACAAATAATAACCCTGCAAAATGTTTTATTCTTTTCAGTTGCAGCTCTATCTCTTCCTAGGTCAAATTTTCTATAATTACATTCATTTTACACAATGGTCCATTTATCTCTATCAATTTCATTTTATGAACAAATTATGACTTGTTCAAGACCTAGCCATTATGAGTATATGGTATTTATGCAATGGACTTCATTATCAGTAGGAGGTTCTTCTACTTCTGAATTATCTGAAAATACTTTTATTTATTAGCTATCAAGGAAGGATTTTATGAAATTCTTATGCTTTACCTGCCAGAAGAGTGTGCACACAGTTCAAGCATTTTCATGCAATGATCACATTCATATTCACAACAAATTCTAGTCCCTGAATATTTTGGGGAATAAAATTGCTCTCATCAGCATACAGAATAATTGCATTAAAATGTTAGCAAATATTGGTGAAATAAGGCATCAACATGTCTGAAATAAATTGTCAGACATTTTTCAGTTATAATACCTTATCTGTTAATAGACTACTGCTCATCTGTCACTTCTGTCCACCAAAAGGAATCTCTACATCTTATCAGACCAGATTCTTTTACTGTATTACGAACGCATTCACGAATAGTTTGGAAGGAATTTTTTCTTTCCCAGCTCCTTCCCTCTTCTCTGCTCAAATTCTCTTTCAGTGTACAGTAAATCATAATATTGGGAACCTGCTGGTACGATCAGACTGTAAGAGCCTCCAAGCCTTCATTGATGCTTTGCTACCCTGATGGAATTGAGCCATGGGAGCAGGAAAGTGGTGGCASTTTGAGAGGGAAGCAAATAATACGGCCGCAGCTTGCAGGCACCCTGGGCATTTGGGACCGATTGCTCAAGATCAAAATATTTCATATTTTTTCTATAGATAGATGTGCAMGCATTCTGGAGAATGTTTCATTCCACCATGGATCTGAAGATAAGAAACAAAAAGTGGAAATCCCCAAACTTGCAAGAGATACATTCCAAAGACTGGCATACCGATAAGAAAAACAGACGTACATGGTTATATATTTATCAATTTCCTATTTCCAAAGCTCCCTGGGTTCATGAAGTGGCTGCTCCGAGTGCTCCAGGGCCAGCCAGGGAGAAGCCGCATCCCCAAGTGCTGCTTTCCCATCACAAGCAATTACAGCCCCTCGCCAGGCAGGGAATCTTTTGGTTTTACCTGCAGCCATCACCAAGATTTCCTTCATCCACCACGCAAATACTACCCTGTGAACCGCCAGCTATTTCCCAGAGCTTGAAAATGCCCTTTAAATATAATGTGTGGCCAGCAMTGCTTTACCCAAAGCAAACACCAAGCTTGGGCACACGGTCTGTATTTCTTTCAGGGCTTCCTAGCTGCCATCTCCTATTGTTATTATTTGATTTGCAGCTGCTCTTCAAAGCAAACAAACAAAATCTYGCTGCTTCCCAAACCTTTCCCAGAGTAATCCGTTGATATTTACAGGCAGGGAGAATCTCAGAGAGTTCTGTTGCGCCCGCACCAACCTGTCTCTACAAATAAAAGCAAACAGTGATTGCGGGATTTCTGTCCAGCTTTTCAGCCTGAACGCAAGACCCAGCACTGGGGAAATTATCTCCTGCACCAAAGACTCTGGCAAAGACATAAACAGGTGGCTCAGCTTGTTGCAAAGAGCCATGATTTTGCTACTAAATTGCAGGAAATAACCTTTTTCTTTTTCTTCTGCACAAGCCACAGTCTCCAATCATTTCACTTGAGCACAACAAGTCACTGCACATTAAAGTCGAAGGAATCTTGACCTCCGTGACATTAATAGAAATATTCCTACGACTTCCAGAGGGAGAGGCTTTCTCCGCAGGACTCCCTCCACGATGCTGACAGTGCTGCTGCAAAGCTGTCTGCACTTAGCAGAGGCAACGGGTCCCGGGTTTGTTTGCTTTGAATATGTCAGGAGGAAGMAATTCAGTGCCTCCTTTCAGCAAGCTGCTGCCACAGAGTCATTGGCTTAAAAATATGTTTTAAGAGCAGGCAAGCAAACAAATCATTGGCTTCTCAGCAGCATCTCCTCAATGGGGATGAGGGCATGAGAGTTTTTCCAGAGCACTGGGGAGTGACTGGAGCAGCTCCTGGGTAGTGCTGAATTTGAGAGAGCCTGGGGTGCAGAGAAGCAGCAGCTCTTATGTGGCTCAGACTCTTGATGGRGAATTTTATGGTCATAATAATGATGAGGTTCAGCTCTCTGAAAAGCCCTCATTTTTCTTCATAAACTCTTCGAATGCAATTATGTGAATAGAGCTGGGTGATTAAATAAAACATACAGGCTCCTCATATGTAAAGAAGTAAGTATTTCCTTTCAAAGGCAGTCTAGGCAGCACAAGAACAACAGCATCTCAGTGCAGGACATGGCCATTGACTTTGATGCTTCCCCACAGCAGCGGGGACAGTCGTTGCGTCGAGCACTTCATCAGGGCGCAGGAGCCTGGCACCCGCACCTCACGTTGTCAGACATTAAAAACGGGCAGAAAGCTCCGTCTGCTGACAGGGCAGCGCAGTCGCTGTGCCCGGGGCGGCTCGGGGAACCAACACCGGGCTCAGAACAAGATCGATGCGCCCGATCGCCGCCTCAGTGACAGCCCTCAGGCACCACCCCACCAGATAAAAGGCACATGAGCATATTCGGACACTTAATAAATTATAAAACCCACGTTCATAGGTTGTGGCTGCTCGGGCCACATAGGTAGAGATACTTCAGGCAGCAAATTTCATCCCCAACACCACTAAATTTAATGAGCAAGCATCCCCCTCCTCACTATCCTGACGTGCCTCCCCTCTTTGCTTCTCAGATTCTCCCCTACCCCTCTTAAATCCGTATCAGCAGTGTTAAACATCACTACTGCTAACACGCAAAGCAGCATTTGCTAAACTACTGCAAACAAAAAATATGTGAAGGATGAAAAATAATGAGCTCCGTCTCAATTTCTAATGTATTTGCATTGTTTAGACAGAGTAGTTAATCACTGGTAAGACCACAACATGCTGTGTGGATTGGGATTATTACTAATACATATAGAGCAGAACATTATTAATTACATTTAAATGAAGTATTTGATATCATTATTATTGAGACTCTAAATGTTATTAATTATATTAAAATGCTCTCACAGGGTTCCTGTGTGGTAGCACTGTGCAGAGAGCCATATTTAAATACCATCTACTTTTAGGTTCTTCTGTCTTTTGCTCAGAAAGAAGGTACTTGGAGCAAGCAAAAAGCACCAAGAGAAACTGTCCTATTCCTATTAGCACTTCTGAAGCACTAAGTGATACCGAACAGGCCAGTAAGGGGCCAACTTTTATTAAAGTTTTTCAATATAGGGTAAAATTTTCATATGTGTAGAACATTCAGTCTGCTGAAATGCCATTTATTTTCCTTTAGTTGGGAATCTGCCAAGGACGGTCTCCATGTGGTCCCCACTGCTGGGCACAAACCCCCAGAAAGGAGTTCTGAGCAAGACGATCAGATGCTACATTTAATTAGTGCCACAGTATTTTCAAATCTTTCCTCTGTAAAATGGCTCTTACCTGTAAAAAAGAAAAGCTTTGGGCTCTATTTTAAAAGGCAGCTCTATTAATCCAGTTGAATTTTGCGTTTAACTAAATTGCACCATCGTTTTGATAGTTTTGTTYCCTGAAAATTACAATAAAGTTGCTGTTATTCTACATTTTGTCCGCATTTGTCTTGTATACCATTGCCTTGCCTTCGGCACAATAAAAATAATCTTTAAAAATAGTGCCCTAAGTGGATTGACTTTGAACTTCTGAGTATCATGTCAATAAAATAAAAATGATAAATCTGCCTCAGAGTGCCACTGGCATAATATTAAAGCAGGGTTACAATCTGAAAGTGACATTTGGAAAAAAAAGACTTTTTTTGCGGGGGAGACACATCTCATTCTGTGACAGCAGTTTCACATAAATATGGCCCATCTACAGTGCAATAAGTTAATGTTGCTAATTGCCCAGCTTGCTCTCCAAGCCAGGCTGTGCAGTTCCCGCTCCGTCCTCACTGCCTCTTGCATCATCATTAGCAATTATAGATTATTGCAGCAAGAAATTAGCTGACACTTGAGCTGCTGATGCATAAACCCCAGCCTGTTCCCTCTCATGCCCAACCCTGCTGCAGTGCCAGCAGGGTGCGGTGGCCTTTGCCCAGCTGAGAAAGCGAGGGAACAACTGCATTCAACAAAAGAACCCCTTTTTTTTTCCCTATATAATCAGCTTGCTGATAACAAATAACATCTAAAATGATCACTGCAAGGCTTCATACTATCAGCTAATAGGAGATAYTGAATATTCTGTAGATAATCAGGAGGCATACGAGAATAAACAGGGCAAGCATGTAAAGAAGCAAGCTTTGAGATGCAGCAGTTCTGATTTACACTGTGCAGTGCATATACAGTAGGTCTGAATTTTTTGGGTAGAGTCCTTAGGTGAGTCTGACCTGAGGCTTGAATATTTTCAAGTCTTACATGTTTCTACAAACAACAAGATTCTACTTGTTTGTCCTCCACTGATTTTTTTTTTTTTTACCCATTACTGTTTTCATTATTTGTATAGATATATATTTAACAATCAATAATAAATTGCATTCTGATTAAAAATACATTTTTAATCACAAGACTTTGAAATCTCAAGGCAGCTATTAGCAGTCAAACTGATAAAGCTTCTTTAATCATTCCTCTTTACCCTTTCCAGCTCCCGAGTGCTCCCCGGAGGGCCACCGCATCCTCCACAATCCCCACCGCAGCACCAGCTTCGACTCCCTGGACCTGCAGCGGGCGGCGATCCAGGACCTGGTCTGTGACCACTCCCTGCCGCACGCCTGGTACCGCTTCATGATCCACGACAGGCCTGCAGAAATGCCAACAAAATGTATAGAAGTCAGTAAAACTTAARAATTATTTATTTAAGAATAAATCCTTTGATGTGATTTTTCCTTCCCAGGCATCTCCATACGGTGATGACCAGCAGAGCAGGAGGCGGTTGCTGAGGGGCAATGGGAAAATCACTTTTCCCCTAATAGTTCTGCTATGCACGAGTGCAATAGTCAGAGGCCACGATCCCTGTGAACTAGGTGCTATTCAAATACTGACCAAGGCGTTTTCCTACCCTAAAAACATATACCTACTAAATCTACTAATTTGTTATGTCATGGCTCCAGTAAGTTAGCTATTCCAAACAATTTTGTTCCAGCTCTCTGGAAGAGATTCTTGACTCTTTTCCCAATTAAAATAATTATCTACTGCTTAATGAAATCGAAAAGTGAAAAAGTGGTATAAAATAAGCACTTTAGTCATACAAGAGGAAAAGGGAAAAGTAAGGGAAAAGTCTTTATAAAAAGAAAAAGGGAAAAGTCTTTATAACAGTTTTTGTATTATTTACAGTTCTGTAAATGCCCTAATTGTGTTATAGCACAAAAAAAAGCTCCATCACATAGCAGTGCTCTCCAAAAAAAAAGATSATAAAATTACCTATTTTTATGCCTGTTTAATATGTGTGATGATAATGTTAAACTTGCAATCATTCCTGCTAGACCAATCTCAGACTCCAAGTAAAATCAGTGCCRTATTAAATAGCCCAGCTGTAGCAGGTTAGAATAATTTCAAATACACTATTAAGCAGAATTGTTTAGAAAATAATAAACTAATTACTGTGAATGACTTTAAAGATGAAACATTCAATCTAGAGTGACAGCAATTTTAATATTATGTTATGTTAATCTAGCTGAAGAACCTTTATGAAATCAGTAACCAGGAGTTCACACCCTACTGAATGGATCCGTGAACTTGCCACAATAGAAGTATATCTTCATAAACCCACAGTAAATGAAATGTTAAGGGATAATTGTCACTTCTACAAGATCTCTAACTCTCTGCATACACAATCCATAAATTTAATTAATGTGAACAAACTGCTATGATTGTTATTGAAATATTCATTTCATGGCAGGCCGTCCTTGAATAAACAACTCAACGTATTATGCATTTTACTTACACCAGCTGCTCTATGAGTATGCACATAGTCTATAAAATTATCTAATTTGTCATTGCATTTCAGCTATCTCTAGTACTTAGTAATGATCAACTGTATGAATTTTCTTTCCAACAAAACATGCTTTGTTTCCTTTATTCTCTTCTATGGAGTTTTTTATTCAGGTTTGTGGAGCTATAATCATCAGTTTAGTTTCTTATCTTGTAACATAATTCTTGCCGTTGGTTTCTTMATTATCCTCTGAATGACAGTAAATCTCCGTTTCACTGCGCTGATGAAGGATTACATCTGTTATATGTCACTACTGGAAGAATACGCTTCTTTTAGATCTTCACCTTCTAAATCTTCCTCTACATTCTCTCTCTTCCACTTAATTAAATCATTGTTTAATTTGGTTTCCCATTTAATTTGAGCAAAACCTCTGGAAGAAAATAATTTAAATTAATAACTGCACAGCTTCCACTCTTTAATAAGCAGTTATTATTGGACGTTCCAATCTCTGGCTATAGCAAGCTGATTTTAATTAAACAAGTGAAAGACAAAATCCTGAACAGAAGGAAAAAAGTGACCACATTAAGCCAGACAATGCAGCTAGAGAGTTAAATAGTACATGACCCCAGTGCCTTGTAGAAAATATGCCCAGCAATACCCTGTTGATACAGGCAGGATGCAAAATTAGCTGCTTATCAATGGATAAGATTAACTTCTTAATTCAAAGTAATAGCAGGTAAGGATTCTTGCCATCCAATTGAGCTCAAAGGGGATTTAAACTATAATGGAGATTTTAGAGGTCCTGACCAAAGCRAGAGAGAATTGCTGCAGGAGGAATGGCACGTGCTGGGTGTACCTCAGGGAGCAGGACCCTTGAGAGCTGCATACGGTGCCCACGTGGGAGCTGTGGGCTCTTTCAGATACACTTCAAACCTTATATTCTGAATTTTGACACACAAAAAAATCCAAAATAYAAATGCAGCCACCTCTGATTAGTGTTTTGTGACCATACGAAGCAAGAAGTTACAAGAGTTTCTGCCCAGAACCATGTCACCACTAAGAGACCCAGAGACTTTTGCCATGGAACTCTAACAAACAGCAGCAGCTCCTAAGAATCTGCTAAGCATCCACTAATTAAGTAAGCTTATTAAAAACTGGGAGAAAAGGAAAAGAAATATAAGTTTTTGTTTGGTTGGTTTTCTTTTTTTGGTCAAAGACAGTGAAAACATTGACTGTATTCCTGAATTCTCCATTCCCTAAATCCAACTGCTGTCCACAACCATCTTCCTCCACTGGTAAAATACTTTTGATTGAAATAACCTTCCAGTTTAGATACTGTCTGCTGAATTTCCCTGTSGGGGGTAAAGAATAATCTTGACCTTCTTCCCTCTATTTCTACTTCTCCTCTCCCTAAGGAAGCAGAGCAATTACAGGATCCTGAGCATGCGCTCTTGGGCCACAGCGACATCTCCATCCAAGAGCAAATTCTGGCAGAAAAGCTACATAAAGTTGCAAATTCTTATCCCCAGGTAGCAAGGCTGCTGCCTACACACATCACAAACAATAGCTTGTTCTTCAAGAACTGCCAGATTCATTTTGGAAGGGAAAAAATCACTAAAGGAAGAAAGCATAGGGAAGGTTTTGCTAAGATTAAGGGACTACAATAAGAGCACGAAACGACGCACAGACACGGCCAGATGTAGCAGGAATATGACCTTCAGGGAAAGAACAAAAGTGACATGAAAATTAGAGCTCCACAGAAAATCTATTAAAAACATAGGGAAGAATGTAAAATGAAAATGAACATGGGGAAAACATTGGTTAGAAAAATAGGAAAACATAGGTTAGAAAAACTATGACAATAGGCACTTGATCAAGTAAAATGCAGAAACCAGTCCAGGCTCCACCAGAACTACAGGGCCTGGGAAAAAGCTTTTATGCCAGTGTGTTCTATCAAGTCAGCGCTGCAGCTATCACCAGCATCTTGGCATCCAGCTCCTGCCTTCCATCTTCAGCTCTGGAAAAAGCAGAGAGAGGTGAACGGAGCCGCACTGGAGGCTCCCAGAGAAAAGAACAGCAGGCTTTAAAGGAGCGAAGAGTCTGTAAAAGAAAAGAACTGCAGGCAAGAACTGGCATAGAGACAGAGGACAAGGCTGATGTGTCCACTGGGGAAGACGCCTTGCAAAGAGATTAAAGCTCTCTGGAGGATGCAGCTCCTCAACGGCTTTGGGTTTCCATCAGAGCTCTGTGTTGGGGAGTGCTGGGTTTTTTCTTCTTCTTCTTCTTCCTTCTTTTCTTTTTTCCTTTTTTCACTCCCAGGCTTATGCTTCCTGAGGGAACTGCCGGGGCAGGAGACCACTCTGGGTTCATCAGAGCTGATTAAGGAGCGCAGCTCAGCACACAGCTGCTCAGTTGAGCTGTGTGGTTTTAAAGGCAAAATGATGCTTTTCCTTCACGTTCTCTTCATTGACTCATTCCCTTGCCTTCCCTTGGAGAAACCATCTCAGCCTGTACTGACGCAGGTCTGCTCTTCGGTGTATTAAACAAGGTCATGTTAAAGTGTATCACATCTGACCTGCTTATAATGCCTAATATTGTTAGTCCCTGGCCAAAAAGATTGACTTTTTCCTCCTCATCTACTTGACCTCTTGTAGAAAATTTTATACTCAGATTCAAAATACAATAGCTCAGTTGCATATTATTAATTTTTTATTTTGTTTCAATTTTTTATTTTGCTCTGAATCCAATCCTATCTGGATTTGCAATTTCTATATGAACTTAAAAGCAAGTGACACTTTCAAGATATTATTTCATSCTTTCATCTGCAATTCTGTTTCTGCATATATATGTGAATACTCTAACATCATAATGGTAGGTATGAAGAGGTTTTGTTTGTCTTGTTTGTTTTTCAGACATACAAAAAACCTTCTGYAGAAATTACAATTACAGTCTCTATTGTTCAGAAGCATATACTTAAAAGAAACACAAGACAGGCACAAGTTTAATTGCTGCTACAGATATTCCTGATGTAAACCAATTTCTGTGGAGTTCGGCCCTAGATTGAAAAAAAAAAACCCCACCAAACTTATTTATTTTAACTTACTAAAAAGAAACCCAAAAAACTAAGATGAAGTAAAGTTTCGAGTGGATAACAGATGCAAAATCACAATGCTTTAACTGCCAACCACAATAYAGCAAAAAGCCTTCCATTCCTATCGAACTAAAACAATGCGTTTCTCACATATGGTGCTACTTATTTTTAACAGCATAATTTCAATGCAATACCCAAGCGACAAGAACAATCAAGCCTGATTTCTTTGCGCAATTATAAAGAACCTTAGAGTGTTCAATCAATCAAAGTAGTTGATTGTCCAACCCCCCYCTATGAAATGGAAGGAGACATCATTGGATTAAACAATAATGGTTTGTCCCATTGTAATTGGCAATGGGGGAACAAATTTAATTTTGTCATTTAGGTTTTCTGAACTGAATTATTAAAAAGATTAGTGAGCTCCTAAGTATGACTCAAAAACACTTAATGAATGCTTACCTGCCACACAGAGGTGTTGGGAAGATTAATTAGGTAAGGCTTATAAAATGCTTTGAAGATTAAAAACACCACTTAATTGTTATTGGATGAAGAATGAAAGGATACTGAGCACTCAAAACAGCCTGGCAACAGGCTACAAAATCCCTCTTCTATTAGAGAAGTTTCCTTTAGTGTAAGCTGTGTCACTGCAAAATACCTTAAAACAGATGCACTGTATAAATTTGGGGTTTACAGCAATATAGTGCAATTCAGTAACTTATAATGAAATTGGACAGTCATAAATCCAGCTACATCTTTCAACTACACCCACTGAGTGCATGTGATTAACACACAGAGTGTTAATCAAGCATCTATTGCAGCTCCCAATCTAGCACTCYGCTTAAACCTGAAAAGGAGGGACAGGATTTTTAGGGAAAGATTTTTTATTTGACATAGCAGTATACTCAGCAATAACTGAACAAACTTTTGGGGACACGCATGATTTCCAGTGTTAGTTATCCTAGCTCAGTTTTCCTCCTGCTGTGTAGCTTCCATTTCAAGTGATAAACACTGGCATTTTCCATGCAACAGCAACAGTGCTGCTACATAGTCTAAATTATGTAGATTGCATAGATAGCCTTGAAAATCCATAATCCACATCCCTCACCACTGGCTTCTAAGAAGACTAATACCTGCCTGTGAGAGATGCAAGGTCCTCTTTTCTGTGGAGGCAGATTTATAATTCTTGCTCTCCATTTTAGAGATGCTCCGGAATTATGGTGTGAGATTCCCACAGCTTTTTGCTATTCTTAGTGCAGCAATGACTGTAGTTATTGCAGGTAAATGCTATATCTTGAATGCCAATCATTTGCTACCCCGGTATTCAATTTTTTGGTTACTCTCCCAAATGACTGCCGCAAAATGTAATGCTAATTATTCCACAGCTGGGACCTAAAAACTTTGACTCTCTGAAATTTCTTCGCCTAGAATTTTTTTTCTCACTTGTGTCTTTTTGTTCGTATCTGTATTGCTGGCTGAATGCATGAATATACATTTGCCCTTCCCAGGTCTATTTTTCAATTCACAGTGGCCTAAAGCAGCAAATCCTTTTGGTTAGTATAGGCAGCTTGCCTAAGATGGGCAGCATACAGCTCAAAGCATAAAATAAATGCACGTATATCATGAAGCTTCCATGGAAATGGAATTCCTTGATTCACACCAAAATTCTTCCTTGGACAGTGCATAATATTGTATCAYAGTTTGCTAAAATGACTGATTTCTCAGTCTTGAGCTTTCAGAATGCACAGTCAGTCAAAAGGGTTCATTACTGCTTGTAATTTGTGCACATTACATAACAAACTATTTAGCTGAAATGGTTTCAATGCAAGATTTGCCTGAACAAATCCAGGATGCTGCAGATCACAGTGGGGGTTTATCATAAAGCTTGCACACAAAACTGTTGGCTTACGTCAGTGGCACTAATCCATACTTTCTTAAGCACTGAAATGGCTTGCAGACTTACAGTGAAGATAAACATAGAGAGGAGGAAAACCACTGTCTTCTTATTCCACATTTTATTTTGCCTTTATGTGTTAACAGGGCACACAAAACCACTTTTATGTATGGATGCCATTGCATCTTTTTTCATAGCCAGAACGCACTTGCATCTGTCTACTTATCTACATGGCTCATAGCACGGTAGATATTTGAGTGTCTCATTAATGAATTTATCTTCTCAATACTGCTGAAAGGCAAGGAAGAACGATTACSGCCTCAGCCACCTTCCTTACCTCTATTTGACAGATAAAGAAGCCAGGCACAGAAAGATTAAGAAGTTTACCCAAGGTCAGGGAGGCAGGTGAGGAGGCAGTGCCTGCCCTGCACGTCCTCCTGCGCCACCAACGTGTTGAGGCCACGCAGGCCACTACCTGCCAAAGCAAATGGAGGCAGAAGTTCTTCAGTACATTTCAAACAGCAAAAGGTTTTCTATAGGAAATCATCAGAAGGTTATTTTTGCTGGGCTCAGAGAGACAGCGAGGCATGTGTATAAATATCCAAATTAAAAAAAAAAAAACATAAATGTTTTTAACCATATGTGTTGTGGTCCTCAACAAGACCATAAAATGAGTGTGAAATAGAAACTATTGAGCTCTTGTCACTCACCCTTCTTTCTCAAGCATTTCTTCTTTCTCAGCGTATGGGCACATTCTCTTCTCCATACCCTATTTGAAGATGTTCAGGGCACTCTTTGGTGTCATTACTATTTTATGCTTATAAATATGCTGTGAAAATACTGTTATTTCACATCACATTTCACTCTAAGTCAGAAGGTCCCCAGGATAGAATGAATTTCCCATATCTGCACCTTGTTCAGCTCCAAAGCACTGACCYCCCCCGCTTGCAGCATTAAATGAATAAACAGAACAAATCTCTTAAAGAGTTATATAAACCACAATTTTTAAAGAACAATGGAAAATAGATTCATCTAAAATTCCTAGTAAAAGCATTTCCATGCACAATCCCTCCCCTCTGGCAAGCCATTCCTCCCTGKTGGCCTCCTGCATTATGACAGCAGGGATGCACATGGACACGACAGGGACAGGTATAGGCCACATTTCTGGGGGAAAATGAGTCTTTGGACCATTTTAATAACGTCTCTTGAGAGTCACTGCTTTTGAGATGTCTAAGAGTGTGAGTGGTTTTTTTTTCCAAACACGATGTTTAACCACATGTTCCTCTTTGGAGGAAGGGTGTCCCAGGAGTCAGACTATTAGAAATGGCATCTCGCACTTTCCCTGTCTGAGGAAATGCAAAGAAACAGAAACACTCACTCTTTGTGAGTCAATTATTGTCAGTAATTTTGTTTTAATTTTAGTAGGCTCAGAGTATGCCCGATCTCCTCACTTGGGCACTTAAATTGAAGGCAGTTCTGGATAATCGTGTCTGCACAGTCAGTGGAGAGAGCCAGGCACCTATGGAGAGCAATTCAGATCCGAGATCTTTGACCAGCTATCTCTATATTTGGAAACATAAATACATCTCAGGCTCTCCCTGCCGTGACCCAAAATGCACCTGCTTAAGCCATTTTAGGACCAACTTTTTCTGATGTGTGGCCTACTCTAGGGATGTGCTGTGTTCAGTGGGTTCACAGAATCACAGAATAGTTGAGGTTGGAAGGGACTTCTAAAGATCACCTAGGCCAACCCCCCTGCTCAAGCGGGGACACCCARAGCATGTGGCACTGGGCGGCATCCAGGCGGGTTTTGAAGACCTCCAGAGAAGGAGACTCCACAACCYCCCTGGGCAGCCTGTGCCAGGGCTCTGTCACCCTCACAGTTCTTCTTCATGTGGAGATGCCTGTGTTTCAGGTAGCATCAGTGTTGACAAATTTCACAATATAGCCAGATGAAATCTGTTTATCTATACTGTACTATTACTCCTCATTCTTGGTATATATTGTGAGTAAAACTACTGGAAAGGCCAAGTTACCTTTCRCTCTGTTTGGATAGATATAGTTTGGTCCCATCCTCTTTATATCATATCTTGAGGTATTTGTACATGTTGATAAGATCTCTTCTCAAATTTCTTGAGGCTAAACAGGTACAGCTCTCTTAGTCTTTCCTCATAAAACAGGTATTTATGATCCCYTGCCTATACGGATCCTTTGACCAACCACCCTCCATCTTAACCATGCTCATGGCCTTGCTTCGTTGTAGCGGCTCCCCGTGGAGTCATGGCATATTTGCTGTAAACTGTCCGCTCTGTGTGTGTCCCCAGATGAACAAGTGCGGGACGCAGGCCCCGGTGTGGCTCTCGCTGGGGTCGGAAGCGCTGCCGGCCGCCGGAGAACGCAAGCAGCTCACGGCCTGCGCCACATGGCGCCTCCTCCTCGGCGGCGCCCAGGACTGCTGCGTGTTCCGCGTGCCCGTGGCCGTGCGCAACTGCGGCGCCTTCCTCGTCTACCGCCTGCCACCCACCCAAGGCTGCATGGGCTACTGCGCCGAAGGTGAGGGCACCTCGCCAGTACCAACCGGCCCACCTACGACTCCCTTGCTGGGAGCGTGAAGGTCCCYGTGCTGCAACACGCACTGCAGCGACCTTGCAAGTCAAGCATTGCCCCCATAACATGCCCAAAATAAAGCAGCAGCGGTCCAAGGCGTTCCCAAGGAAAAGATATTATTGCCAGAGCAACAAATAATCTGGTGTGTGCTACTGGAGCGCTCTCTCCTTGCTTACAACAGCAAGACCTTTGCTGTTGTCTCCTCTCCACTTTGGCTCCAACTTGCCCAGCCAGGGAGCTGGAGCTGCTCTGTTTTACTAGGTCCTGTGTCAAGAACAGGAGCTAAGGCTTGTTCTTATCTTAAATAATCCACTGTCTCCCCCCCCAAAAAAGGATAATTCAGAAACTCTGGAAGGAAAAAAAAAAATCTGATAACATCTTTTCATGACATTTAGATAATTACTCTCGTCAGAAATAATTTTCAACCTACTACAAGAGCTCTAAGCTCTCTGCCGTAGCTAGGAAACAAAGCAAGAGTAGAAAGCAGTTGTTCACTCAGTTAAGTTCCCTCTGAACTTAGGAGCATGTTCAGGTGCATATAGATTTAGCCAGAAAAGACAGTTCTTTCTCAAAGGGAAAAAATTACCTTTATACCTTCCTTTCAGCAATTTCGGACAGAGACAAGACACAGTGAGAAACCAGGGTTACCACCTTTCAATGAGGCAAAATTCAAACTTGGAGAAAATTTTTAAAGTGAGAGGTATCTGTTTTCTTATCTTTATCAATATTTTAACATTCCCATGTGAAAGAGACGAGAGAGAAGGAAAAAAGACTCAAAGAAAGAAAGATTAATTCCCTATTCAAATTAAACATATAGCTTTAAATAAATGAAAGCTTTCTATAATTTCCTGGATTTTATTTTTGAACACTGCTACCTTCCAGTTTAAGTTCAGCATGTTCAACTAAAAGCTTCCATCTACCCTTCTTAGGAGAATTTTTTATCTGTCCTCTTTAGGTGATTACTTTTGTCCTTTCTGTCATAGTGCTTAAGCACTCAGGCTTATTTAATTGTTTCAGGTCATCAAATTGCTTATTAAGCCTCTTGATCAGTATTTATTTAGTAACTTTGCATAATAGCACTTGAGACTTAAATCTGCCTGCATTTTGGACAAAATAAAATTTATCTCCTTCCCAGCTATGTCAAACCAATGAATTTCTGCCTTTTTTTTCTTTTTTTTTCTTTTTTTTAAGCATAGCCATTGATGCTTTCTCCATTTTTTAATGCATTTCAGTGATCAGCTCCCCTGAGTCTKTAATGATTTTATGATGTCTTTGCAGTATCATGCATTGGACAGAAAACATTAAAAGTTAGAGGTTCTTATGGGGGGGATGTGAATTCACTCTGCTAAATTTAGCTGCTGAGCACTGCACWGCACAGGCTCTACACAGCAGGGAGCCCAGTCCAGCTGGCAGCGTCACAGCTTCTTACCGGAGAGCTCCCCACAGCCCTATCACTAGGAACTTGGGAACGTCAGCAGCATTCCGCACTTCCCAGGTTCAAATGAAAGGGATTTAAAGCTTCACAGTCTGGCAGAAAGGCCATAGCTGAGAAAAGTGGAGCAAGTGCCTGCAATTTTGCTCATAGTCTTCCATGCTCTGACTGCCTAACTTCATCCTTCTGGTATAATTCTGTGCAGAAAGTCATAGTTCGAGGCATAGTTTGAGGCAGCTTCCMTTAGAATCATAGGGAAACAAAAAAGGATATAAACAAACAGCACTTAGTCATATTTTAACTAAATTGTTTATTCTCCTTACCTCTTGCTATTTGCTTTATACAGATGTTAACACATCTATTCTCCATTCTGCTCTAACAGTCTCATATCTTATTCTCTTGAGCTTCCATAATATTTTCTACCATCCTGTGAAAAGTTTCATAATTTCCTTTCAAACTATCTGAACCTGCTTCTTGTTCCATTTGATTCCCTGTCTCTAGGCATGAAAGAACATTGCCCTACAGTATTATACATTGTTTTGCTTCTACTTTTAAAGCAAACTTTACAGGAAGAAAAGTTTCARACTTCATAACTTACTGAAGCCTATATAAAGCAGACTGTATTTTCAGAGCAGTGTAATTTTCCTAAGCAGAGAGAAAATCATTCAGGAYGCTTCTCAGAACAGCCTGGAAAGGGTCTGCCCCACTTGGTGATAGGAGCTGAGTGCTCTTTGAGAGCCAGTTTACCTCCAAAATGTAATTATCRCTCATCTCTCTCCTGTATTTATTGCAAAATGCAGATCAAAGGCCTGTGCTACTGGGAAATCGAAAGCTAAACGCCTTTGCCAGAATAATTAAATTCTATTAAAGTGTATGCTTCAGTTCATTAATATTATTCTAACTACAAATTAAAAAATCCCAGGTCAAATATTCTAACATCAATAAATAGTCATTATACTATTAGCTATTTTTGTGCTTTACGTGAAAGAGATTTTCTTTTTTTATAGAGTTAATAATCAAATCACAAGAAKGTAAACCCCAGTATTTCTCTCATATCCAGCTAAATTCAATTGCCTTGTTGTTGAATGAATAATTGTACTACTAACATAATGTTTTGCACAATACTTTTTCTCCTCATTTTCAGTGAAACTCATGAGCCTGGCTTTGCAACCCGTGATAACTCCCAAGCTTGTGGCAAACCATGCCCACCTGCAATGCGTTTACGAGYGCCCATCCTCAGGCCAAGGGCTGCGCTACGAGGTGCTCTGGTCCCGTCTGTCCGACGCTGGTGCAAAAGAGGAGATCCGCCGGGACAGCACTCAGCAGCCCTTCTCCTACCTGGAGGTGGATGGTGTTCACCTCAGGCTGGGAGACACGGTAACGATATCCTGCTCTCAGCAAAAGAGAAAAAAAAAAGATCAAATGTTCAATCAAACTTTTCTAAAATCATTGCTGTTTTTTGTTAGTGCCTCATCCATGATATTTATAACTAACAGAGAAATATACAGGATTACKCAGTCATATACACCAGGATCAGAACCTGTGACATCTCTTTGAAKAGCACAGAGTTCATGGAAGCTTTCTGCTTTACTGTTTTCCCAAACCGACCCGAACAGCTACACGTACATTACTGCTTGAATGCCATAAAGCTGGCACAAGAAGTAGGTACATGTGCCTGATCCAATCTTTGCTTAGTGCTTTTTTTTTGTGCCTCGCAGCAGTGAGAATCTGCAGTACAGGCATACTCTGCAATCCATACTCTGTGATTTTTATACTCATGGACCTGAGACACAATAACATCTTCTCACAGAAAAGAAAGATGGCACATTTTAAATTATTTTATGGTCTTTTTCATGGTGTTCTGCCTCTCTGATTCCAAATTCTTGGTTCAATAGTATACTAAAAGATAGAGTTCATTACAAAACAATCTTTAAGAATTTGATGGCTTACATAGCAACACAGATCTAGTTTTAACAACAACTACAAAACAGAAGCCAATATGACATGTGAAAAAAAGACTTGTATATGAATTCATGGCCTTTCACAGTACAGAAACAAGACATTTAAAGTTAGATTAGCTTCATCACTTTTATAGGCAGGGAGCCATTAGTGATGCTACACAGAACTGAAAAAATAAACAGGGATAACAGCCTTGTATTAAAAGTAGGTTGGAAACAGTTGTGGTGTTYTGCAGCTCTTTTTTGGGATATTTAAGAAATGTGAATAAGTTTTTTCCAGTTCTTGTAAAGGTAAGTCATTTGTAACTATAACACAGTCTAGATAATTATGAGAAGAAATGAAAAAAAAAAAAAAAAAACCATGCAACCTGCTGCCCTCACTCTAATATGAGGCGGACAATTCTGCCACATTTCAAGGCAAGTTAGTGTTACAAAGAGATATCTATTTTCATCAAAATAATAATCTCACTTGTAATCCCTTCAAATCTAGTTTTAGGAATCCTGAGGGGTACAGAGAAAATGGAGTTTTGTTAACTAGTAACATCGTCAAATCTTTATAGGACCTTCTTCATTACATTAAGTTTTCAGTAAGCCCTTCTTTGTCCTCTGCTGAAACCCTCATGTTTAATTTAACAGGTTTAGTGACACTAAAATGTTCTCTTCCTTGCTAGATTTTTTTTTGAAGGTCTTCATGGCCTATTTGGCTAATTATAATTATCCATAAATTGTCACTGGTAAAAGCCAAGCAATGAAGCCTCAGTTCTAACTGGGAATTTAATTTTCCACACTAAAGATTAGAAAAGCATTGGACTGTGTTTGCTCTTCCACTCTGGTTTCTAATAACAGTTACAAAGGGACAGATTCTCCTTTCATTCGGTGTAAACCCGAGGCAACTTCRTAACCACTAACAGGGCTATCACAAAGCAAAGGTGATGCCACCAAGCAGAGATCCCCATCCCGAGAGCCATCACCAGGCAGAATGTGTCCCACAGGCTGCACAACTCCCAGAATCACAAAAAAATGGTTTCCTCTGTTCAACCTACTTTTCACTCACCTGCACATAGTCCAATTTTGGCTCCAGTGCTTTTATAGATGAATTCTAGGAATTGTATTATTTATAAGCCTCATCTGAAATCAGTACCTTCTCCGTTTGCCTCCTGATATGAAAAGAGTACAGCCAAGAGAAAAGATTATTTTTAATCATCCTTTAGGTGATTGATAGCTACACTATATTTTATCCATCAAAAAGTCTCCCGGTAATAAGTTAGTCACACAATAGACTAACCATCAATATTTTTAATATGCAGTCAAGCTATATAATAACTTTAAAGAGGAATTGGGATTTACTGGCCAGCATTTCTGAACCTGTATTGACTTCTCTTTAGTCTAAACAGCTATTTTTTTAATAGCAGTCATGTGTGCTTATCTCACCCATCTCTGGACTCCAATTTTGTTATTTCAGACAGTGATGTTGGCAGCATAATGTTCGTGAGACTATTGCAATCTTAAATAAATCTATAACATGCCGCTCTTTCTATATAGGCACTGAAAGAAGCCTATTCCATCTGATGTGAAAATCCTAGCATTCCTGAGCCTTATTTATATGATACGGACAGAGGTCATTCCATTCCTGGAGGCACAGCCATCTATAAATTATAGTGGCACAGTGTGAGTAATGAGTTATGCTAAGAGAGAAAGGTGTTTAGAAGAAAACTGTGCAGATTTTGCTCAGCACAGCAATCTGAAAGTTCACACRGCAAGAAGCAATTGTCACCACACATAAACTGTGATGCGCACTGTGGAATAAAAATATTTGAGTAAAAGTGGCCTTTCCACGCTGCACGCTAGACGTGGCCATCTCACAAGACATAGTCAGCATGAGGAATACAAAAGACTACCTATTTGGAGGTTATGGTTGAGTTTATAAGTCCTTTATGAAACTTCTGGTAGAGGGAAAAGGGAGCATCCTGACTGAGATGCAGTGCTGGATGGATTAGCCTTTAGTAGAGCAGGCACCTGCAGGTGGGAAGCCTTCATCTCCAGCACATGCCACCTTTCACCTGGCACAGCTGCCCCAATAGGGGTTTGGACCCCTCACACCCACACCAGGAGCATGGTTGAGTGTTTGCTGTCCTCAGAAGCCTTTTGCTTCCCTTTGACATCTGCCAGCGTAGCTACAAGAGGGGCACCCTGAAGAGGTGCCTGATGTTACAACTGGAGCTTCCTAAAGCTGTCCAACATATATCACTAACCAGAGTGGTATCCCTGAGCTCCCACACCTCTCAGACAGGATGGCTGAGTCAGGAAAAGGCCTCTCTCCACATTTAAATCCAGACCTTGAAGTCCCACTCAGATGTAACTGCTTTTATTCAAGTTTCAAAAGACCATTATCAGTAGAAGCAATTATTTTAAACTATTGTCACTACAGCGACACTCAAACACCTGCCACAGAGATGGGTGGCCCATAGGCAATTCGCTAAGGAGAGGGTTGCCTTAAATAAATGTGTCCCCCCTTCCCAAGATAGCCTGGCAGGGTGCAGGACACATTCCTGAGACCCTAGATCTGCAGAAGGACTTCTGAAAGCAAGTCTTGATGTGCAGACACTGAGATACATCTGAAAAGACGCCCAAGGTCTTTGGGAGAGAGTCCCTGGCAGGTAGCCACRTCTCCACCTGATACTGGCCTCTCTGGAGTGTGAGTTGATAGGCAACGATGATGGCAACGCAGACAGCATCACGGTGGTGATGATGGACTCCCTGTGTGCTCTGCCTTTGAAGATGATAACAAACGTGAATGCAACCTTCTTTGAGCTTCTTTGTTCCTACCTTCAGCCCCCTTTTCCTCCTCACAAGCTCTAACTACCACTGACAACCACTATGCTTCATTCAGGAGTGATTAACAGTGTGGAAAAGGAAAAAGCTGGAGGTTTTTATGATCAGAAGGATTTTCAACAAATGATTTTCAACAAAAGCTTTGGATTTTGAGAGCATTAAAAGGACATTTTGATGTGCAAGATGTTAGGGGGAAATTTGCTGATGACTGTGACAGGTCTTAGCATTTAAAGATTCTCTTGGTCATTTCCCAAAGCTTTCTCAATCCTGACCAAATTAATGACTGTATTCTGCCTTGGCTAAATATGCTCACAGGGTTTGCAGCAAAGTGGGAGTAAAGTTCACTTAAGGGTAGAAATCTGCTCTGAAACACAGGAATGTAGAAATTTTTAGATACCAGGGCCTTTTTATATCAGCATGTTGTGCCTGTAAGTAGCTTTTTGCCCTACAGAAATAACTACAAACACACAAAGGAAGGGAAGTAGACCACAACTGGAAGCAATTGGTCCACAGCGTATTAAGGCACCTTTATAGATTTCTGTTCCTGTAAAAAGGATGATGAAAAAGTGTAATTTTATTTTGGAAATATTTGATGAGTTTGTGAAAAAACATTAGGCCGTTAGCCAAGGCCTAACCTGTCACGGCCATCCTTATACTGCCCACAGTAATGTTGCTTTTATGTCTTTGCTTAAAAAGAAAGATATATCCATCAATAGAGAAGGGAGAGGAGAGAAAGAAAAAGTTGATTATTGAACTGCAGAAAAAGAGCTAGGATTTAGCTGAAGGCAAAAAGCTTGTTAGAGTGACTATCATCATAATTACTTGACAGAATTGTCAACCTGTAGCTCAGTAGCCACTGAACATATCTGCTGTCTGTGAAGCCTGCACCTAGCTAGGTAAAGACACTACAAGAAAGGGAATGATATGACAGACATTAAGAAAGAAGGGAAATAGAGAAGAAGAAAGAAAGAAAGAAAGAAAGAAAGAAAGAAAGAAAGAAAGAAAGAAAGAAAGAAAGAAAGAAAGAAAGAAAGAAAGAAAGAAAGAAAGAATAAAGAATAAAATAAAAAAAAAGAAATAAAACTCATGACTGGTGCCCATTTCTGATTTGCAAATTCTGTACTAAACCCCATATGCGCTGAAGATAAAATTGACAAGGACACAGAGTCTAGTAATAGCTTCAGGGTATTGCTATGGGTTAATTTTCTGTAATATTTCGATAGGTATGTTTTACAATAGGTGAAAACACATTGCAAACAGGGAACAAGGTTGGATTTCTGACATTTTCCAAGGCATCATTTTACTAAAGATGACTCCTAGATTCCTCTGCTGGCACCTCCCCCTCCACTCAGCCTTGTGCATCCTAGTGAGCGATCCTGCCAGCATTAATTATATCTCCCTCTCCGGCAGGAATTTTGCAAGTGGTGTGCTCAAATGGAAGTCTCCATGTGCATACTTTTGGTAAAAAGCACTGAAGCAAAACGTGTAAACAACCCAGCAACTGTAAATATAGTATCTGCAATGCAGATGCATTGCATTTGCCCACTGAGTTCTGTAATGGAATCTGTTTTTTTTTTTTTTTTTTTTTTTCCCCACTAGGAGGAATATTTATCATCTGAACTCTCTCTTTCTGTGTTGTCAATGATCATGACTTGTCAGATCATGATTTTGCAGATTCTCTCTTCAGCTGCTGTAACAAAAATGGCAGTAAGACGGGCAATATTCACATTCTGCCTTCCAAATACAAGAACTTTTTTAAAAAAGTTTTTAATTTGGACATGAGCTTGTATAAGGAATACTTGAGGCAACAAATATATAATCACAATATGGTCTTATTACCTTGAGGAGAACATAGGCTGTTCTCCTCTGCGGGGATTCATCTTTGATGAACTTGGCCTTTACGGTGTCTCTGTAAGGCCTGTGTCTCCCTCCACTCAGTGACATGGCAAGATGTACCTGATTCCATGTCAACAATATGACATGGAACATACTATTTTCACCAGGCAAAATATGACTTTAAAAAATGACTTGCATCCACACAATGCTGCAAATATTCTTAATGTTGTGAGCCTGTTTGGCTACTGCTGGTCACAAGGGCCATGTCTACCCAGGAGGTCCCAGGAGAAGCCTACGGCAAAGCAGCCCTCTGCGAGTCACCTCCAACCATTGTCATGCATTACAGCCTGACCTGCAGACAGGTGAGGGACACCCAAATGTCCTGGGCATCCCTGAAGGGCACCTGGACCCTTCAGGCTGCCTACTCGCCCACCAGGAAAAGGCTGGAAAGGTTGTGSTGGCCATGGAGGCCAACCACGGGCTGCCTTGTATGGACCCCTGAAGATCACAAAAGGTTTTGGCTTCTAACCTGATTTTCAGGGTGCTTCTACAAAGAACTGTGGATGGAGYCAAATGGTCCAACTGCAACAACATTTTTTGCTTCACCAACATTTAGATTTCTCCATGAACATTGACCTCTGAAAAACACCTCCAGCCCCCGACCAGTGGGTTGTGCTGAAAAATCTGTCCAAAGGAATTTACCAAAACAGAAAATGAATTAAATTGGTCTTATTTCCCCTCATGGGTTACTTGAGGCTTAAAAAAGGCAGTAGCTATAAATATGCCATCTGATTATTTGGAATTGACTTTAGTATGTCACAATCTGTTATTTCATTTACAAGAAGAGGCCAAAAAATTTTAGAACTACCATTTCAGAGTCTATTGCTGTTTGCTTTAAGGAAAATTTCTGTAGTTTAATCCTATGATCCTAGAAACAGTGTTAGCTGTTTGCATTTTCTGAAACCAATGAAACACTGGGATGGCAGATGGTGTTCGGGCTCAGTAGAGATAAAGGTTGCATGACTGTGCTAGGAATAAAGCATAATTGGGCTGGTACATCATGTTTGGTGGGTTTTGTTTCGAGGCATATTTATTGTTGGTTTTTGCTTTTATAATATGAACCTTCTAGGCACATCTACCTCAACTAGGCATACTTTTATAATGCACTAAGGAAAAAAAAAAGGTGCTTTGCATATTGCTGACAATGTTTCCGAGACTGTGTGGCTAAACAAAAAGACAGTTCAAAAACATGATATAGAGAGAGGATATTTGATTCAGGGCACAGAGTGACATTCTAAAGGCTAATGTCATAATCTTCAGAGTAACACCTATGAGTAGTGTAATTCTCCCTAATTAATATGGAGATAATATTACTAACCTCTAGAAGGAGCTGCAGAAGAAAATGCACTGTAAGCATTCACTGGTATTAACTGTTGAGGCAAATGCCGTATTCTKTCTCTTATTTAAGGCAACCAAAATTCTTTCAAATCTCAAGGTTTATACATAAACATTTTTTAAAGCCTAGACCTCCAAAAACCCTGTTCCAGCAATAAAGAAAGACCTGAGCAACAAATAGTTGCATAACTATGGCTTATTTTTTTCAAGAAAAGCTATAAAATACATGTTTATTTATTACAGGTCTTTTGCACTGTCACCGCTTTTATGAAGGACACTCCTGATCAGCAGTCATTACCCGAAGAAAGCAGCGGATTCTATGCAGGGATTAAGGTAATGCTGATGGCCATGATTTACTGAACTTCGCCAGCATATCCCCAGATAAAAATTATATATTATCTGACATGCTCTGAAAGATAATGCACAGAAGCATAGGTCTTGATAATCATAACCAAAGCTGTGTCTATGTTCACTTGGAGGAAATGTCTCAATAAATTATACGGCTTTCAGCATGTTTGTAAAACTGTGTGAAGCACTCCTCAGCAGAATGTGCAGGTATTGACACTAATGCACCATAAAGAATGTGCAAAATTACATCTTCTCATAAATATGCCTCAAAATACTCTTGTGGTTATGTGTGGTGGGTACCCTCAAATTTCTGAGGGTAAGGCCACACGGTTAGCAAAGCGCTACTCAGGAATTCGACTGTCAGGCTGACAACCCTAGAAAATTTGAGATCTTCTGAATATCTAAGCTTCATAACCAGAAGAATGATGTTTGAAAAATCTAGAAGCCTTTTCTGGATGACATTTGAAGAATCTGTTCAATGTTCTTTGTTCTTTTTTTTTTTTTAATGTCAGAATTTTTTCCAAGCAATTACCCGAAATGAAAATTCCAGTTTTTGAGTAGCCTCAAATGCTATTTCTGCCCTTRCCCTAGAAGAAGGGATATGCAGAAGTGGCAGAACCCATCTCCTTTCCCCAGGGCACAAGCTGTGATGTATTATGTATGGAGAAACTCTTCTTCCTGCCATAGCAGGGAAGAGGAATCAGGTGAAAACAGCACTTAGTTACTTTGCACCTGCAGCAGATACTAATATAGTGTCCATGTTCATAACTGAGGCAGTGCCATACTTCAGGCCATAAATATTGCTAGTGTCTTAGTGCATTGCAATGCACTCATTTCAGCCAGAGATATTAAACATGAATATATATATTCTACAGTATCACACTATTTTCAGGTTTTATAAAAGCATGTTTTTAGACTGGGAAATAGGAAGCAATCACATGGCAACTGCAAACATTTTCTTCTTTTCTGGTAAGATATTGTATCAGTAATTTTACCTTTGGAAAATTTAAGGTGATGATTATTTCACAAGTGACTTTATGATTCGTAATTGCTTAGAAGCACTCAAATTTTCATAAACATCAGCACTACCTTATTAATTTGTCATAATGATCTAAAAGTGATTTTCTTATTTTCAGTTTTTACCAGAATCATTACAAATTGCAGAGGATGGCAAAGAGCATGTTCTGACCATTCTGAGTACTGTTCCTATTACCTGTTCGAGGAATGATGATTCCTGCAAAATAACTTTACAGCTAAGTACCGAGGATTTGGGTAAGAGTTTCACATATCAGCATCAAATCAGTGTGATTACTTTTCTCCGTACCCATGTTACAATTAATTTTAACACAGGGTAGAACGCATAAACTCAAACTACTGAGACTTTATATTTGCCTACAAAATAAAATACATGACAAAATAGATGATAGTACCACTCAGGTTTTTGACATCTAAAACACCTGAACAATACTCCATTGAGATTTATGGGTGAAATAAATATGAGTAGAAGAAATTATTTTAAATTATGGGAGTATAAAATTTCATTTTAAACTCTGTAATTGATAGGGTCTTATCTAGAATAATTCCACTAATTATCAATAAGGAGCTCACCTACTGACTTATTACTCAGTAAATGTGTACTGAAGCTTTTTTTTTTCCTTTTGTGGTCTTGCAGCTTTTGTCTACCTTAATTTAGAAGGAAAAAAAAAAAAAACATTCATATCACAATGTATAATTCTTTTCTTAAAAGTATTTTTTAATTTAAAATATTAACAATGTCTCTGCAAATTACTTTCCCCTTTTAATTGGTAAATACTTTCCACAGGTTAATCCAATGCAATATCATGCCCAAACAAGGGAACCATTCAGATGTTTATTTACCATTTTCACTAAAGAAAACACCCAAATCTCTTTATAGCAAGGGATTTATTCTGCTGCTACTGAGGACTCAATGAGAAGGTTGTTTTGGGCTAGCATTTGGTCTATAGATTTTTTTTTTTTCCACAAAAACACAGTTAACAAAGGCAAAAACCAGACAGTTTCTCTAAAACAAGAAAGACCCAATAAGTCTCTGCAGTAGCTTAATCTTCCTCCCCACTCTCACTTCTCCATCTCTGCCTTTTTTTTTTTTCCTCTTAGTCAAGCACTTATATAACATGAGTTCTCAACTCCCTCTTGTTTCCCTCCCCACCATCGGCCAAGTGCACAAAGAGAAGAAAAAAAATCCTTTGCATGATATTATTACACAGTAATCTTAAGCTGAGCAGCACCGTATGGTTCCAGCAGCTGTGTTGGCTCTGGGATATGGAGTGCTTAGAATCTCTCCCTGGCTCAGCAGTTCCCTATTCCATATAGGGAACTCCTGGCTACCCGGCAAGCACTCGCTGAGCTCATGGGAACGGATTCGCTGAGATATTTCGGTACCAAGGAATGCAAGCTGGTGTATGGTGAGATGTCCCCAAAAAAATATTTTACAGACAGTAACTCATGGTCTTGCAGTAACCAAGCCTAGGAAGGCTGAGACTGATAAATAAGAAAGTCTGACTGCTTGCCAGGGGTCTCCTCTAGTACCACAACACACTTTTGCATCTAACTGAAGGAAAGWGGTGGAGTCAAATTTGCAAGAGCAAATTTCTTTCCACGCTTTCATATAGACTTGACATTTTGGTGCCAAGAGGTGCCAAGATAGAGACACAACTCCCCCAATTAACTGATCTTTGAGGAAACTTGTCACCAAAGTGGCGACTTTCTGTCAGTTTTAATCACCTCATTTATGTAACTTAATCTAATAACCAGCTCTAGTCCTTGATTGTTCCACCCCAAGGCTATATCCTTGTATGACACCGGGCCCTTAATCAATTGAGATATTTATACGTTGCTATGACTGAACAGCTACTGCTGTGTGTTTGCGTAACCACACATTTATTTTGTGCCTTTAYTGTCTGTAGGGTTCTTTGTTTATTCAAAAGAACCCTGTGGGCTCCTGAAGAAAGTAATGTCGGCCACAGTGCAATAAATTGAAAATAAAAACAAGTTGAGCTGCGATTCATTTATAACAAAGAAATTAACTGACAAGCTCCTCGTCTGACTGAATCCATGTAATACCACTGTTGTGTTAATTACGTAGGGAATAACTGATAAGAAAGCTAATTACAAGCATAGAAACATCTCTCCGAGTTCAGACAGTATCGTAATGAATGCCTAGGCACACCAGCACCACCGGAGCTCGGCTTTTGTTACGTTTATCATTGCTGCTTTGACAAGACCATTTTGTTTGATTTTAAACTTTTGGTCTGGGTCGTGAGCACAGCCCATGGGTCTGCAGTGGCAGCAACTATTCCTTATGGAAACCTCCAATTTAATTGAATCGGGAACCTTGAAAATGAGCAAAGACTTTTCTGTATGAAGCACAGCAGCCTTTAAGGATTTGGCAGGAGAGGTAATATGCTATTAATGTTTGCAGGCTCTATAGAACTCTAAAGAGTTAATTTCATTTCCATTTTATGAGTTTTTTCCATGAGGAATAAAATGTTGATTACTTAGTYATATTAGAAATACAACCTTAGAACACCTGAATACCATCTCCTATAAATTATTAAACAAATCTAGAAATCTGAAAAAAAACCATAAATCACTTAGATTTGTATCCAGTTAATTCCATTGCCACTCTTTCCAGAATACTGTACATTATCATCTCATAAATATTGGCCTGCAACAGAAAATTAAACACTTAGCACAAACACTGGTAGTCCTGAWATCAGTTCTAGGCCCCAAATTTCATTATATACTCACTAAAGAATTCATGAAGGTTTGACTGACTTCTTGAGGAGCAGACAGACACTACCTACTGCTACCTGAAATGTAGGGCAGCTGGCTCAGAACCAAATGCTCCATGCTCATAAAATACAAAACACATCCATGGRAAAAAAAAAAAAAAAAAAAARAAAAAAGTGAATTACCGTTTTACCTGTGACCTCAACATGAAGGATCATGACTGAAGAGAAATGGACACCACTATTCTCACTGTTAGAAGTCCCTTAAGGGATGAGGTGATGAGCAGAGGCAGAGCTGCATGCATAAGCTTGAGTTACCATTGCCACATTGATGTTGTCATCAGTCATCACTTCGCCACCCATCATAGACACTTCTATGGCCAGCAACACCACCATATATTATTTTGTTCACAGTCTTTTAGTGAATTTATCCTCACATYTCCTCTATAAAAGATAGAAATGATACTACCATCATTTTACAGAGCAAATAACCTAGCCAAATCTAAAAACCTGTAAGAGAGAAGGATCTACTGATCTGTTGCATTTGTCTTCCTGTTCCAGACCTGAAAGTTACTAAAAAATGATTTAAGAACTCCTTATTTACAGATAAAAAACTTCCCTTTATTTTAAATTAAGCAAGTCTCAGCAGATACCTTTTTTATAATAAAGTTAATGAATATAAGTGCTTTCCTGAAATGCAGATTCATCTCATTCTTTGTCATGAGAAATACTCATCTTCATTTTCTGCACATGGACTCATAAAGATAAGACTGTCATTCCAGAAATACAAACACCTGTGGACAGAACAGCATCAGTGAGTGTTAGCAAAACATCTAATGCAGGAAAAAGAAATAAAAAGGAAAAATAAAACATTCAACTGTGCAAAGGGATGCCAGATTAAGTCAGTCACAATTGTCTTCATGCAAAGGCCATCTGGTTCCTCGCACGTGTGTTGGGGAACGTAAAACACTTGTGCTGGACGGTACATGGGGAAACTGCTGGGATATCTCTTGTGAAACTCGGTGTTTGTGCTCATTTTAGACAACCGGCTCGTGGGGCCCCCGGACGTGGTCCTCTCGTCGTGCCAGGTGGATCTGCATCCCACGGCCTGCACGGCGAGCGGCTGCGCGGCGGCCGCGCTCACGGTGACGGCCGTGACGGACTTCGCGCGCGACGGGGACCGCRTCACTCACGTCAGGGCGAAGGTGGACGAAGGCAGCGAGCCCCTCTGGAGGGCCTACACCCCAACGGATGTGCAGGTGGGCTCCTGGAGGAGTATGGAAAACATGTCAGGTTTAAATGGGAACAAGGCAAGGCAGTAACTCGGAATGATCACCACATGAACACCAACATTTGGGGACTGCTGTTATGGTAGGAAACCAAACCAGGGTCTTTTTGTGCCAAGAACATTAACATGCAAAGCTTTCTGCTGTAACAGACTCACGTTTGATAGTCAGCACGGCAGTAGGGCACACAGCTGGATCACAGGCACAGTCCAGCTTGCCAGCGAGCGCGGGAAGCAGGCAGAGGGGGAACCCTGTTTAGGGAATTAACATTCCTTGTCACAGTTTGGAGGAAAGTTTCCAAAAAAGCTCGGAAGCCACATGATAAAATTGGACACCATGAAAGGAAAGCTGGACCTGCAAGAAAACTTTGGGCAAAAAACGGTGAGTGCCTTAGTAATTAGAAAGGAAGGAGAAGTGAGAATCGGTACCGCTGTGTTCAATTTGTGACCCTGCCARTAATCAGTGGGAGACCTCCGATGACACTCTTACCCATTCTGTCTCTTCCTATATAAATGTCTAAAATAAAAATAATGAGAAGCAATCAGAGAGCCAAACCACACTTGCACTGCAGAGAGCCTGCCCAAAAAAGTGTGGCAAGCAGCAACTGGCCCATCATTTGCAAAGGTCTTTCAGCCTCTCAGCTGGGAGGTTTCATAGCACTGTGCTGTAATCCCATGGCCGGAGAGAATAAGCCAGGATAATATCTGATTTGATTCAGCTAAACCTGCCAGAGCAGTGGAAAGTCCAAGCTGGTCTATTCTAATGGGCAGAAAACATATCTCCAATGAAAAATATAATATGGATGCTGTTGCAGTCCATTGAAATATGAAAAAATAGCAAATGTGAAATGAAGTTAATCAAATTTAATAATAAATTGGATCAAAGCCTAGCTAAAAAATGATCTATAGAAACAAATAGATATTATTCCCCCCTCTCCATTGCTGCTATACAGATAATCAGAGGCATTAATGTAAACCAGATCCTGAAACTTATCAAGGAGAAACTCATATGCTAAAACCCACCAATGGTGAATTTTAGTTGTTCAGACTTGTTCAACTATTTTCAGCTTAACTGAAAAATGAATGGAAATGGTGTGCAGAATATTCTGATCTATTCAGTTCTCCCCCCACCCCAGAATGGATTTCTTCAGCAATCTAAGACTCCATGTACAGTCACATCCTTTGCTGGTAYCATGTGAGATAAGAGCAGGGCAGACAGGGGCTGGTGTACGTGTGTGTTTGTGCCTGGGGAGAAAATGGGAAAATTCTGTGATGCTCCTTTACATCACACTGTAAATGCAAACGATGCAACTGACCTCGTATCAAAATGCTGCTCAAAGGGATGTGGTGTTTTTCAATCCTCAAGGCAATCACTCTACCAGCTGGGGATACCAGCCCTGTGGGTGTACAAGCAATGTCACTGTGGGATGGTTAAAGAGCATTTTGAAAGATGATGCATTGCCTTGGGTGAGGAATTTTATCAGCGAGTGCAGTTCTACCTTCTCTCTCCTACTCATTTATTTAATTTCACTACTGCCAAAAAAGCTGAATTCTGCTTTGTCACCAAAAGACTGCACAGAAGTATCACGGCCATTCTTCTTCCCTGCTCCACAGATCACAGCAGAACTAACTGAATTGCACCTCTGGATTCCTCATGGGCAAAGAGCAGGCAAGCAGCCCTGACCAAAAATTCCCTGGCGGGCGGGAGATAGGGAAAACATAATACTTCATCATTCCCACTGGAGTGACCGGGGAGCTGCCCATATTGCAAATCACTGCAGCTCCTATGCAAATAACCCTGTTTGCATTGCTGAGAATTGGATAACAAAGAGCAGTCATGCAAAAGGACCATCTTGAGAGGAGGTGGCAGTGGAGGCCTAACGGTGCTGCAGCAAGTGTGACTGCCACTGCAGTGGGAGCTGTCCTACCTCTAGTTTTTGGTGGCAGCATTTCTGCTTCCTCATGTCCAGAGCTCTCAGACCTTGGCTGTATCCAGCTTACACCAAGGGAGCCGAGAAAGGAAGCAGCTGAGGATCTCTGCTGATCTTGGCAGCTCCYTTCCTTTCATTCTCCTGACAGCAGAGAGCTCCAGCAGCCTGAGCCTCAGCATCGGGACCTGATCAATAACCTGCACAGCAAATACATTGATCAGTCATTCAAATGCTGTATCAGGAAATTTAAGGTCAAACTAGTGGGCAGTCCATGACTATAAAAAACAGTAATGCTATTTAATTACCTCCTTACACCACGCTGCAGACCCTGAAATCCACATCTACCATGGTGGGATGTGTGCACGCCAAACTCCTCACATTGCACRTGATCAAACGCTTGAAAGCAAAGCCTATTCTGTACCCATTTGCTTTAAAGTCAGATTTCAGTTTATACTTGACACACAAATGCTGCCCCTTATGTTTTGCGAGGAGCAGTAATGAAGCAAACCCGCTGCGCTGGCTGTATTCATTACACATTTCATTTTAACTAGGTCACAGTTCAAGACCTCCCAACAGGGAACTGCTACTCTTTCACCGATCCTCACATTATCACATTTGATGGATGGTGAGTATTCTCCTTTGAAATAATTTGCCTCAATTACCGTAGGCTTTGGTTTCCGGTTGCAGCATGCATTTGGTTGTGCAGAAGAACAACAAAAGGGCGTTGTGCTGGTTTGCTTAGAGTGATTAATGCAGGGGCTCAGTAACGTACATGATCTCCTTGCAGCTGCTAACAAAAGGACTAGGGCTGTATTAATCCTGAGGCTAAAACAGTTCTGATCTTGAGTGGTTTTTACAGAACAAAGATCAGATTCTAATATGTTCTTCAAATGAAATGGTTGTTAATGGAGGTGTCTGCAATGTCAATGCAATGTTAATGGGGGGGTCTCCGCGTTGGAGACATCCCAGTGCCTAAGCCAGGCACCCCCACAGCAGCACAGTAAAGCCTGACACAAACTCCCTTGGCCCAAGGCGGCTGTTGTGTTTGGGTATGAACCTCTGTATCTCTGCATGGAGCGGACAGTCATAATCATAACCAAGGAAACAAAATAGCTGCACTGCTCCAGACAGAAGATCTTCAGAAATGGTGGCTGGCAAATATCCTCCAGAATTACCCAGTGAGAAGCTGCAGAAAGATTTAGCGTTTTGTGTTTTACAGCCTTTACAGTGCAGATTTTTTTCTTCAATTAACTTGCCTAATCATTCATGAATATATTTACCCTAGATGCTTTGCATAATCAGAAGTTCTTCAAGTTTATAGCTGGCACATTTGAACAACAGTTACTAATATTTCAGATCACATTCCAGATTTGCCACTCCACTGTTAACCTCATAACGGGACAGATAATGGTTTTATGAATATAGCATCCAGAGGGGCTCAGCAGGCATGATATTCTAATTTCAAAATCCTAATGTCCCAATTTCAACCCAGCATGCTCTGGAGCTGGCAGCATGCATTTGTCGGAACATAAACTCCAAAATGACGTCAAAGCTAAGGAAATCTCGGCGTGAAAGGAGAGGGGAGAGGGAGGTGGCCCATTAACGGTTATACTCAAGCAGAAGTGTCACCTGGACTGGGTAGTCCCAGCTAGGAGATAAATAAGGTCCTGCCTATCTAGGGCTTACCCACTTCCCTCTGCTTTTGCCACATACCATCTATTGTGTGGTCTGGTCTTGTTTCATGCAGGTTTGGTCGCTCAATCTGAAACTAAGCTGGGGGAAAGACTCAGGGCTCCCAGGATTTAGTGCAGTGAGAAGATCATCACTTTTCCCTGGTCWTGGAAAACATTTGGTTTCCAAGGATCTTTTAAACCTCATTAAAATGGACTGTCATGGGCAAGAACTTGGCAGTACAGTCATTCAGAGAGAGCTACAAGGGATGAGTTCCAAGTGGTGCACAGATATCCCCATGCCACTTATATCTGCAATTGCTTCAACTTGRGAATACTAAATTAGATTGGAAGTTTATTTAAAAACTATCTATACWTTACACTCTAAAATATTCACTTCTGATTTGGGGCTAAGAATGGACAATGATCCACCAGATTGTTGTGTCAAGAAAGTTATGAATTACTGAAAATTCCCTCTCAGAACGGTGGTACCTTCTCAGACACATTATATCCAGACTTCCATGGGAGAGAAAAATACAGGAAAAAAAAAAAAAAGGAAAAAAAAAGGGGGGGTGGGGGCTTTAAAAGTTACAGCAATTTTATTTGAATTTGAATTTTGGAATCCTTTACTGGTAATGCATAGAAATGCTTCTAGAAAGACCACCCTTCTGCAGTGCCCTAGCTCAGAATCACAAAATCCTGAAATGGAAAAATCCCAGGAATACCCTGGGCTCTCAGTAATAGCAGGTTTCTTACCTGTGGACTTTCATTGCTGTTTTGTCCTGTCTAGCTTTAAATGAGCCAAGAGATGGGGCTTCCGCTGTCTCGATAATCAGGTTATTTCACTAAGACATATCACTTCTTGATRTTCAGCCAAGTTTCTTACCCATCATTTCACAGTCCCATTACTCCTACTTAGTTTCCCATTTATTACTGTAAATAATTTCTCTTTCAATTATTGTAATGATTATGCTGCCCTATTAGACGTCAGTTAGGCAACCTCTCTGTCTGCTTATTGCATGCATTAATTTAAAAAACGGTAACATATTGACAAATGAATTTAGAGTTCTGTATTGAAGTAGTGAATGCAACTCCTCCTTCTGCCTTTATGCAGACCTATAAGCTCCAGACAAATGGTGAGAAAGTGTTATGGAACGGAAATGTCCCCTTTTGGTGCCAAAAGGGGTTGGAAAACTGWGCTTTAAATAAGATGTGCATTTAGTATTGGGAATACAGAACAGCTGCCCCAAAAAGTTTGTGGGCCCAAGTAAGAAGTCACATAAATGTCCTTCAACAATAAAAAGGTTTTAGAGGGGCACTAGGGGGTCTCTGTAGATTGTAAATGGTGGAGCAAGAAAAGAGAATAAACTCAGAAAAACTTTTCCTAGGGACCATGAAGGAACAGGCTGAAAGGATGAAGGCAGCTTGGTCTTCAGCACCCATCCTCCCCACTCTCCATGCAGCCCTGTGGGGAGACAACCTACGATCTGTAACGCTACAAGCAAGAGAAAGTCTGAACACGGGGAGCATTTCCATTAGCAAAACTGCAGGAGTGTAGGTAGGAGTGTAATGGTAGGAACATTTTCTACACAGTGGGACATGCACGTAAACATACTCCTGCATTTCCCAGATTTTCTTAATTTTCAGACTTGCCCACTAGCAGTGGAGAAGTGAAGGAAAAATACACAATGGAGAAAAGTAAGGATGAAAGCAGACACAAAATAGAAAATTGCAAGCTTTTGGTTTCCAAAATTTAAAAGAAAAACAAGGCCCATTAAAACTTTATTTATAAACTTTGATCCTTTTTTTTTTTAGCAAATTTGTAAGCTGGAAAAGTGAAAATGGCATGGAAATCAAAAACCTGCCTGGAAGACTTGAACTTTTTGATAGCAAAATTGAAATGGTCACCTCTAGTATATAGGTTATTTTGTGAGATTTCACAATAATGCTTCATTTTTTTTTAATGAAGCAAATTTTGCAAATACTTGCCAATGTTTTTTAGTTTGATTTGCTGAGTTCATATTACTTCTAGAGTAGTTAGTTATTCATAATTTAACCAAAATGCTTAACACAGCTGTGATGATAATGCCCTCTTCTATATGCCTTTTGCTAATATATATTTTAAAGAAATATTTATTTTATAATTTTTATTCTTTTGACCAAACAGACTGAAAATCAAAGACGAAACTGTCATATTTTAAAGCACACTCAATTTGTGTATATTAGTGCATAGCACTAATTATACYAGCTAAAATCCAGAAATAGCATTTCCCTTTATAGCAAAGTACCTTCTAAATTAAACGAATGTGAAAGCCTTGGAAAGCAGAAGCATGGCCTTCATTATTAGTTATGGCATGTTATAAATATAAAAGCCTTTCATATCATAAATTGTAGATTCTTAAATATGAAATATTACCTTTCAATATGGAGAAAATCCTTTTATGGCAAAGTGTAAAAAGGGAAATATTTCTTGATTGTTGAGTAATATATGATAAATATTATTTTGTATTTTGACAAAAGATTTTTTTTTCTTTCACAAAAGAATTGTGAGATTTCTCAAACATTTATACAAATGCATCAGTATTACCCCWGGGACGCTGCCACCACTTCCTGTGCTACAGAATAGCTCCGTTTGCACAACTTTGTCCTTGTGCTTGGTTTTAATAGAATTAATCATAGCAGTCCACAACTAATTCCTGGACATGAGAAGGCAGCCCTTCCCTTCCAGAGCTGGATTTTTTTTGGCAATCATTGGAAGCTTTTATACCCCCAAGCTTCCAGAAAGCTCTGAACATATCTCAAGAGCTTTGTCCTGAGAACACAGCCACTCTTCAGCGAGGAACACAGRGAAACCTGAGGACATCCTGCAGCATAATCCAATACCTCCTAGGGCAACAAATAGCATAAAACTGTTCTCACTAATGAGGAAAGCTGAAGCTTCCAACACATCAAATGATTTGGTGGCAAAACTGTGAGGGGAAAAGTTTAGGAGCAGTCACAGTAATAACTGAATCAATATAAAACAGTGAAGGAGAACTCCGTGCAGCCTGGTGAACAGTTCAGAGATCATATTACTTAATCTAACATTACAACTAGTGCTAACATATATTATACCTATTTATCCTATTTATATATTTAGCCAAGAGAAAAAAAAATCCTACAATAACATCTCATTATCTTAAAATCCAATTCTTGGATAAAGAGCACAATGAACAAGAACTTGATGTACTCCTTGGAAAACAGCCCAAACACCTATGAGTAGGGAGGGGACCACTTTATGTGAAGTATCCATTGCCATAGATTATTAGAGGAGCAGAAATGCAAGGTGTACTGAGCAGTGCAATTCAGACCCCAGCAATAGGTTCTGAATTCACAAAGAATATGCTGAATCCCATCCCATCCCACAAAAGCTCCCATAACTCCACTTGATGCTTTCAGCTCCACAAGGCTGCAATTCRATTTCTTAAACGTTGTCCAATGAATGATTATTACAATTATAGTTGTATAAACATCACAAAAGTTTACCTGATTACCTTCAATTATCCACTCAAGTAATTCAAAGCCATGTGAAGGCTTCAATTTAAACACACTGCAAATCTGTTTTGTGCTATGGAATCCGTGTCATGACTTAATCGAAGGACTCTAAGTGACTTCCAAGAGAGCTGGACTGGATCCATTGTCTCTGCTTATTAAGCAGTGAATAGCTCCCATTACTATAATGATATTTATATACATAAGCTAATACTATCTTATTTACTAGATACACCTGACTAGTCTAGTCATAGTCATTTTGCTGCATATTTTCCCATCAATCTGTCTAAAACTCTTTCCTTCTAAATTCCTCTTGTTGAAAGGGCTATTGAAGGAAACTGCAAGGTGATTCTTGTTAAATTTCCCGGCTCCTCATTTTCTCCTGTGAAGAGTTCCAAATGAAGCTAGCATTTGATGTTAAAAGAGATTAGATATTTTTAATGCTTTCTTTAGTCCTAATCAGTATTTGCAACAGCATCTGAGTAGTGTAGTTAGCATTTATGTACTTGATTAGAAAATAAGATGAGATAGAATGATACAAACTCTTTCTGTGGTCAACTTCACTAAGTTTATCAAGATTAAGTATAAATCCCAAAGTGCATTCTTGCTGAGGAAAGAAGCTGGAGTTTAAATTCTTACTGCACTTTAAGTTACATACTTCCTATGGCTCTTATTGTGAAGAGCAGTAAAATCTTGATAGCACTCGAAAACATCTTGGGTGTTGAACCAAAGATAAAACAATAAATGATTTGTCCCTCTGAATAGAAAATATTGACTAAAAAAAGCAGTGATGTGACACTGCTTTGAAAAAATCCTGTTAGTTTCATGATTGACTTTATGTTTTGTAAAATGCTCTTCATAGTTTTTTTTATTGTAGAATATAATAAGGATTATTATGAAAAGCTTATAGCTTATTTCTATATAATTTAATTTCCTAAAAATCTTGTTTAAAGCTGTATGTTATGCCTCAAAACAAAGCAGAAGAACGCATTGCTTTTATAGATGACAACTGTTGGCTTACATGGCAAGACCTCCTGCAATGTCTATAATTGCTCCTGCTATAGTATAGCTACTGTTTTCTTTTAGTTATATATGTCATACTGGAATAAAATACAGAAACGTAAGGCAAGATCATTGAGTGAGAAAGCAGAGAATACAGGAGGATGCTCCCGTAGACCTTCATCCTGGACTCCCACTGCACTGTGCTGCAGGACAGAGAAATTTTGGCTTGCTAGTGCAGGGAGAAACATCTGTGGGATTAATCTTCTCACGAACTCAGATGGAGCAAGGACTTTTTGTACTGAGAACTGCTGAACACACTGCAACGTGCTGATTGCCAATCCATTCAGAGAGAAACTTCTACTCATAGAGAAGTTGTTTTGCAAGGGGCGAGGGGGGCTGGGGGGAGAAAAAGTCCTTTTAACTGGTTTTCAGTAGACTCTCACTTTTTCATATGAAATATTCACCTAGCCACACTCAGTCTTGTAAAAGTTAGTGATTAGTCACAGAGGATGTTATTTGTGCGCCGATTTTGCTTTGAAGAATATCATGCTGTAAAGCATCCAGTTAGAACCAAAACATATTTATTAAGGCCTGGGGGCAGGGACTTTTTTTTTTTTTTTCTCTCATTTGCTTTTATCAAATGTTTATCCTTTTTATCCCTGCCCGTTGCCATAGCAGCGGCTCTTAGACAGCCACCCGCTTCTCGCCTGCATCCTCACACACTCCCAGCTAACCGCCGCAGCGGCAGTAGCTCCTCGCGGTGCCCGCTGCTTCCCCACGTGTCCATTTTTCCCCTTCTCCTCAAGCAGGGAGCCGGGGAAGGTGTCTCTCAACGCTGCTTTTTGTGTTTTCCCTTGCTCCCACGCAGGCGCTACGACAACTCCAAGACGGGCACGTTCCTGCTGTGCGGGAGCGCGCGGCGGGCGTTCGCGGTGCACGCGCGGCAGCGGCGCTGCGGGCGCCCCGGCGCCGCGTGCACGTGCGGCGTGGCGGCGCGCGACGGCGACGACGTGGCCCTGCTCGACCTGTGCGGCCCCGCGCGCGCCGGGCCGCGGCTCCGCGTGCGCCGCGGCGGCGCCAGGGTCCTCGCGGCCTACGGAGGCAGGAAGATCACAGTACGTGGCCGGGTGCTCCTCGTGTTGACGCCGCTGCTGCCGCGCTCGTAACTGGGATGCTGGGATCGCCGAGGGATTGCGGAGGTTGCTGTAAAAATGTCCAAAGCCGTAAAAGCAAAATGTACCGGGGAGTGAGATCGAGGGAAGGAGACAGTTAAAGGTTTGGTTTAACAAACAGTGAAACAAAAGCRAGCAAATATCTCCAGGTATTTCTTGCCCACGTCTCTGCAAGTATCTCTAGAAATTTCGTGGAAGCCCATCTCAAAGCCAATATTGTTGCTTGCTATTCTCAGTGCAGCAATCCCGYGGTTTGTTTACGCTAGACGCTACCCAAACACTTCACTTAAAGCAATTGTTTTTGCAGTGCTTCTGATATAAATATTCAAGGCAAGATCACAAGTAAACAGAGCAGAATCATGGAATGGTAGAACGTGACAGGAAGGCAATAATACCCAGATCCAGATAGCCCCAGAAGCCATGAAAATGGACTACAAACAGAACATTTGACATAATTTAAAGTAACTTACCAAAAAGAAAAAAAGATAAGGCCATAACATACATTGCAGGTATGCAAAGCGATGCCTATCATTTATCCAGACTGGGGAATTTTAATCCAGTCTACTGGTTGCAGTCATTGGAAGAATAAGAGCAGGTTGCACTAGGGGGCTTTGGTGAGTACAAGAGCTGCAAATTACAGCCAAGAAGATAATTTTATCCTCAAGTTGTATCATCAAGATTTATTGCCAGGAATTATTTAGGGTGAACGTAGGTCCACAGCAGAGCCAAAAGGATGCGAGGGAGTTCCCATGTTTTGACTCTCTTTGTGATCTCCTCTGGAATAGATCTTGATAAGCTACTAATTGAAAGTCACTTAATTATAGAATAGAGAAAAAGCAGGAAGCAAGCTGTCATTTCATTTTTCAACTGAATGCAATGTAATTGCAGTTTTATTACCAGGATAATCTCAGCAAGGAAGCCCCCCATCCTCATTTACACCTCATGTAAGTCTCACTGATTTATTCTGAGCTTAAAATACACTAGGACACCTCCAGGACACAGCTATGAATTCAGTCCTCAGCCAAAATCTGTAGGAGTGACAGAGCAACGTATATAGTCCCACATCACAGAGTCAGGACTAAAGCATCCTGGTTTGTGTCGCTCTCCCAGTGCCCCAACCTTCTGCCACATGTCCCCAGTAGCACCACACAGGAGCGGGGTCCCCATGGCCCTGGCACCTCTCAAGGTGGCTGCTTTGAATTATGTTAAGCTGCTTTCTGCTCTGTGCACGGTGGCAGCTTCCTGCAGCCACTCTCTATATCTCTATAAGCTGCATTCTCAGTAAGGCTTCTTCGGAGTCCCCATCAGCAATGGTTAAATCCACGGGGGTTACAGAAAAGCTGGACACTTGTTAGGTCCTCAGTGGCAGATTGCACAGCTTAACAGGGGCAAGAACAAAACAAAGTTTTACAGCCCTCTAAATTCCTGAAATAAATCCACACCTGCAAATACTAATGTGAACAGCACAGAGGACTGAAAGGGCTCCTGCAGCCCTGACTGCTGGATTTGCACTCAGCGTTGTAGCTAATGTTCCTCCTGCTAGCAAGGGATGTAACTAGAAGGCACATGTGTATCTCAAAGAGGAAACTCACCCAGGTCTGTGCCCACAGTTTTCCTCTAATATGTTTAAAAAATAAAGCTTAGAAAAAAATGAACTAATCAAGCCATGCTGGCTTGCTGTTTGCAAATGGTTTTCTTACCTTACCTTGCAAAGCCAGGACAGCTAAGGTGAACATACGGCCAARGCCTTCTGATGTCTTCGCAGGACTGGTTTTACGTGAGGCATTCGGGAAGATGTTGACACGCTGCCGGCATAGTTGTGCCATCTGCTTGCTCATCTCTTCCACGGCTGGCAGCACCTCGGGCTGTCCCAACCTTTGGTGTTTCACGGGCTCATCCAGTGCCACCGCAGTTCGGAGCAGTCCTACTGCTGACTCACACGAGCGAATTCTGCATCTTAAAGACAGACACATGGCACAAAGCATGAGCCAGCTAAGTGCTGGCTTCCATTACTGGCCGAGGTCAATATTCTGAGAAAAAGATACTTTAAATGCCCAGAYCAAACTAAAGTGGACTTGAGTTCAAAACACAGCATCCCCACTTGCCACTGAGATCAGTGGAATTTCGCTGCTCCACTCARTCAGACCAGGAGATCACACACAGGTAGCACCACAAAAAGTACTAGGAAGCGAAAATGCCTAAGATTATTATTTACTGCAGGCAAATATAAATTCCGGTAATAAAGGAGGAGGAAATACAGAAAATAAAAATGTATATAATTAAAAAACTATAATTAAAAGGAACCAAAAGAAACAAAGAAAAATCAATGCACATTAGTTAAATAATTAAATTAAAAATTTCCAATTATTTAATGTATGATTTCTAATTATTTAATGTATGTTTTTAGATAACTAGAAACTTCTAATTCTGGATCAGCCAAAATACTAGGTTTAGTTATCAGGATAGAACTCTCTTCCTCCCACACCCGGTACAGATCAGCTTCAAAACGACTTTACCTGGAAAAAATGTAGGAAACAAACAATACATTTCAGTTGAAGAGATTTATTCTTTTTTTTTTTTCAGTTGGGCCACCAATCTGAAAAATCCATTATCCACACAGCTCTACTTCTTTGTCTTACCCTCAAGATTTTTTTTTTCCTTTTAAAGGTCAGCATAAGCCTACCACAAGTTCTTTAATGAGAAAATTGCTTTATCCACTTTAAAACACAATCATTTTCTGGGTAATCCGGCCCTGGAAAATGAAACGATTTTTCAGAGGGAAGAAAGCTCTTTTTCAGACTTGGCAGTTTATCTAACAGAAACAATTTCCTAGGCGAAGACACAAGGGTGGTCTTACTGTCATGGAAGTTGCTTCAAAAATTAGCTGCTGACTTACCAGTGGGAAAACCTCAGTGAATGCAATTATTAATTTTAAAAGGAAGCACTTGTGTGGATTTGAGTTTATATAAAGTTATCAGATATTAGCACCAGAAAATCTGAAAGTAAGCTTAGAAAAGCACGAATAAATATTTACAGCAATATCTAAGTGAGCTTAAATCACCACCCATGCAGCTGGCATCCTACTCTTGATATTTTGAGAGCAGAAATGGGCACTTTGTGTTACATAAAGAGCCGGGTAAAGCTTTTTTCCCTGCTTTTCCAGCTGCTGTTCCCGTCGGGAGCGTTTGTGCGCRCGGACGTGAGCGCGTGGGGCATGAGCGTGACGGTGCGGGCGCCGAGCAGCGACTTCAACGGCACCCGCGGCCTCTGCGGCACCTTCGACGGCGACGGGCGCAACGAGGCGCACGGCGCCGACGGGCGGCCCTGGCCCAGCAACGCGCCCCACGAGGACTTCATCGAAGAGTGGAGGTACCGCGCCCCGCGTCTCCACAACCCGAGAAATAAAGGGGGTTTTAGGGWGTGTTTCTCACCCACCCTGGAAAAKGTAGATCATCGACAATAGGGTCTGAAAATGGAGATAATTGACAATAGGGTTTGAAAATGGAGATAATTGACAATAGGGATTAATTAAGGACTTGGCATTTCCCTTGTTCTTTTATTCCTGAGCACTAATTACAATATGTGAATATAGATTAAATGTTAAATTTTGACAAAGTGTGGTAATATATGCACCATGCTAAAACTTAATATCTGCTGCACTAATGACAATGGTCATTAAAAACTCTCACTTTCAGAAACGGATGGTCTGTAACCAAAGCTAGGAAGCTGACTTTGTAATGTATCCCTATTCCACATTTTAATTCCTGATACTGACTTCTAAAGATACCTGCAAGGTGACCCCAATACCAAAAAGAGACAATTTGACCACACAGGTTTGCTTGTCAAGTATAGTTTGCAGATAATGGAACAGGATGATGATGATGATGGGTTATGTTTATTTGCACATTTATTGCAAGATCAGCTTGAGTCCTGACACTTTCCTTGTGTGGTGCGGGACGAACAATTGCATGAAAATTTGACACAGGTGAAAACAAACTCAAACCTTAGTCTGCTGGGTCAATACAACACATTAACACAGCACTTATTCATCATGCAGAAGCTGCTTGCTTGGTTCAATCCTTCAGTAACAAATAAGCAAAAAAAAAGAGGCATTACATTTTTAAAAATGAAGAAATGTATCTACCATAGCCTAGTGATGTCCAATGGGCTTAAATGATGGCACTCTCACGTCAATTTTGACCTGTAGGTAGATACAGTGCAATTTAGAACAGTCGTTTTTAATATATCTTAATGCACTTGATACTATGAATAGGAGTCAGATACTGCTTGTGGGAAGGGAAGGGGCAAATTAGTTTAGAGCAAGGACAGCCAACTCCTGCCATGCACAGGGAGGATCTACCTTGAGACCCTTGGGAGAAGCTGTTCAAAGCAAGGCTGAAAAAAGATCAGGAGCCAAGACAGAATACCTGGGAAGATAATATAGAACAGAGGAATCTTCTAGCARTTGGCACGCATGATGGGAATGCTTCAGGAAAGGCAGAGGAATCTTCTGTGAAGTGAGAAGGCAGAGGGTGACAAATTTAGCTTTGCTGAATCCCCAAGCAAGGACTCTTCAGAAGCCATGCCTGATTCAAAAACCGGCTGGAGTCAATGGAAAAGCTAAAGCTCTCTCCAGAGGAGATTGGATCAGTCTCTAATTCACCCACGGAGAAATGGCACAAGAGAAATTAAAACCTGGAGGGTGATTTTTGCTGCTGCTGTTTTTAATTTCATTTTAAATAACATTTAAGGCACACAAGTCTTCAGGACTCTCCAGCACCTGAAGGTAGGCTGTGTGTTCACCATCTGGCAGATCCCTTCCATCCCTGGCTCCATCCTCTCCTAGGCAGCTGCAGGGCTCAGAATGGCACAGATCACTTGCAAACAGCAGCTTAGCAAGGCAACTTTTAACAATAAAACGATATTAGAACCTCTCAGTCCTTAACACAGCATCCCAACAGGAATTCTAAAAAACATATCTTAGGCAAGGACGAGAAATTATTCTTACATTTTGCAGTTACTATTGTGAAAGTAACAACAATACTATTTGTTTTGGATTCACTACAATAGTATACAACTCAGTTTGTTAATCACTAGTGTATATCATTTTTACTTAAATATTAAATACAGAATATTTAACCAGAGTCTCTAGTTTATGTAATGCTCCCTTAAAAAAAAAAAAAAAAAAAGAAAAAAAGAAAAAAAAAATGACCTACTCCTGCTGCCTTTTATTTATCTTTACAGTTAGTTTATGATGTGACTCTGAGCATATCCAGGTATCCCGAGTGCTCGGAACGAGGGAGCAGTGTGTGCAGGATGTATGGAATCTGAAGTAGCCCCGACTTCTTCTGCAAAGGACAAGGGTCCATATCAGTTCCTTAATCAACAGAATAGATTTTATTGTCCTAGACTGTAGAAAAACTCATGCTAAGTGCATAATTGTTTATTTCTGTGAGCATTAAAGCCTTCCTATCATATCTCACTGTAGTGTGTTGTACCGGCACACTGTGAAAAATGGCTTCATAAAGGTCTAGGCTTATATTTGAGAAAGAGAAATTGGACCATTTGGCCTCTATCACTGCATTTTTTTTTAAGTTAGTATTATATCAATGATCAAAATAATAATATCATGTATTTTCAATATATACTGGAGAAGTTAAATACAGAAATCACACTTTCTACAAGAGAATCTAGTTTCTGGCTTCAAGATGTTTGCAAATGTTTTGTTTTTCTCAAACCTTCTACATTCTGGCTGTAACACACAAAGAATATCAAACTTTTGGTGATATATCAAACTTGTCTGGAATAAAGCACTGCCAACTCTTGGGATAAGAAACATATCTTCTACAAAGCTCTAGGATTCTTCTTGTGCCATGCAAATAAGATCAATCAGAAATCTTACGCTCATGAGGTTTCCAGAGAAACTTTAATCATGTTTGTTCAAACTAAACTCTCTAGAAGATTGTCCATTATTAAAGCTGGACTAAAATAAAAAGGAAAACTACCACCTTACCTTGTATGATACCCTAATCTTGTGATCAATAGAAAACGTCATGGGAAAGGAAAAGCTCAAAGAAAGTTTCATTAGAAGAGCAGAACAAAATGAAGTATGCATTAAATTTTTAAGATGAATAAAATATGTAAAGAAAAAAAATACAGTGCTCCAAACCTTAGAGGAAACCATGTGTAATTAGAGTAAGGGTAGTTAGTTTTGTAATGAAGTATTTGAAACAAATACATCTCCTTAGTCATTCTCCAGACTGTGTCAGGAATAGTCACATGAGGGACAAATCCAAGGCACTACTTCATGTGTAATATTCAAAGAGTAACCTGCACCTTAAGAAAATTTTGTGAAGTGAAGTCACGCACTTAGGCAGAGGGCCAGCAAAGCACTTAAGCATCTGTTACCAACCAGTCTCAGTGCAGTCCTAAAAAAATACATAGGATAACTCAGAAAGGACAGTGCAAAAGTGACTAAAGAAATCAGAGTTTAAACTTACTAAGTACTTGCTAGGCTGGGAATGTATACATTCCCCAGACTCAAGGAAAGAAAGTTTATGTAGTAATGTATACTAATTTGTTGAAAGTTTTTTCTTTCTAATCTCTGATTTTAAACCAGAATACCTCCAGGGAAGAGCTTATTCGACAAGACTCCAGCACCTTCTGAAGGGAAGAACAGGAAAAAGTACTGCAGATGTCAGAAGGTGAACACTAAGTCCTTGCACTCAGTAAGCACACTGAGCACCCTGCAAAATTCTGTCCCTCCGTCCCTTGGCTGCCATTATGAAAATGTGGATTATACTTCTGCAATCCCATATATAGATGTTACAACAGAATTTGTCTCTCACTCAGAAATGGAATCTCCTTTGGGAAACAGGAAACCGTTGGCCAAGCCCTTTCATTGGAAGTACCTGCCAAAATCTGTCAAAAGGCGACATAGTCGCAAGCACCAATTAAAGCCACTCACAAACATTTCCATGAAACGCCAGGAAAACAACAGTTTCATTAACTTTACTAAAGCAACAGAGAAACTACAGAGAGCCAAAAGGCAAGACAACTATTACGAACACTCATCGTTTTACCCGTTACAAAGCCCAAGCCAAACAGACTCAGAGAGCTTTGCATATTTTTTCCCAGAGGACTACTTTGAAGGGAGCCGGACAAAACATCCACTGGCCTGGCCTACTCCCAATGGCCTAACCTATGCTAAAGCTCTGGAGATCTGTCACCAGATTCTTGCAAATTCCACCATTGGCTTAGCATGTAAAGTCATCCTTGGCAAGCAAATGGATGAGGCCATTGATATGTGTCTTTCAGATCTGCAGCTCAAGGATGATGTGGCCTGGGTGACTGCACTGATAGCCTTTTTGGAAAACGAATGTGAAAGAAGAGTGTTGGGAAACAGAAGTAGAATATTTCATGTAGGAAACCAACCATCTGCTAGCCAGCAAGAAATCCTCACCGTTCTCAGGTGTCCTGCTTTCTGTAATGGCAACGGACAATGTACAGACCGGGGCTGCCGCTGCTTTGAAGACCACAGCTCTTACGACTGTAGTATTGCCAGAAGTGAGTAAAAAATTCTATTTGTTCCTTCTTGTCTTTCTATGGTACTACAGTTATTAGGTAGAACATCTGCACAAAGTTGTTTGCTCTTCACACAGCAATACCAGTAAGTTATTTGATGAATTAGTAATCAGTTTTTGACCTTGAAGAGCTGATCAAAATATCTGGTTGGATGATCCTCCACTTTTTTTGCCTCAATAACTTTTTAAAAATGGATTTTACAAGCCCCTTAGCAAATTGGTTTTGCAGAAGTGATTTTCTTTACATCTGATCTATCACTGGCATGCCAACAAGCAAGCTTCTGACAAAAATGAGGGTCTTACTCACCTTGTGGTCAATATTCATGTCAGTCCTGTATAGCTACTCCTTTTTTTCGTGATCAACGGAGAATAACATCTGAAAATGAGTTTCAAACACTATGTTTCAAACACTATTAATAAGAAAAAAATAGTGACAAAATGAACATGTAACCTTTTCTGAGAAATAAATAGCTATAGGACATATTTGAACTTCAGACTTGTGCCTTCTACAGACCTGATCCTGCAAATATTATGRATCACTTTATGTTTAAGCAGGCAGACATCCCGCTAGATTTGTTTCTTCTTTATAGTTCAACCTCCTAATGCACAAATCCAACTATGACTATTCACTGTGCTTGAAACTAAGCACATGTATAAATGTTAGCACTCATTTAACAATTTATGCTCTGCTTCAGCAAACTGCATAAGCTTATGCTTAAAGCTACCAGAAAGGTACTTACGGCTCAGGTATACAGCTGGGATCCTGCAGCTTAATAAGTGACAGCATTTCAGCTAAGCTTAAGTGACAAGACATCCTCTCACCGYCCATCCCTTTGTGGGGGAAACTTTTTTTTTTTGTGACACTTAAGCTAATGGATATTACTTTGTGTTTAGGAAAGGTAAAGCTCATATATTTATGGTCATTCACTACGACTTAGCTGACACATCAAAATCTCATTAAGCCCCAGGAACCCAGCTGCACATCTGATACTTGCAATGCACTTACTAGTAGGACAGGATTACCCTGATGCTTCAGAATAAACATGTTTCARTGTGCTGATTTAAAAGCACACAGCATTTGCTTTTTGTTAATGATAGGCTAAAATTTACAGGGTARTTCTGTAGACCTGGAAAAATTCTCTAACTCACACAGAGAACAACTGACATCACTGCCTGAAAATTGCTTCGAGCAGTCTTGTAATAATTGTCCAATACAGAATTCAGAGACYAGGGTAGGGGAACTGCTTAGACCAGATTTTAAATTTTCATTTTCCTCAGAAAGTAGCTCTGAGTCCTGTCACTGCTTCATATCCCACCCACCTCTTCTTTTTTCCAACAGAGAAAGCTGCAGTGGATGCTCTTTGCTTCAGCAATGTTCTCTTTTGCAAGTCTGCTTAGGAGAGCTCAAAATACATGAAATTATTTCCCCCACTTTTCCAAAGAGCCTGGCTAGTGCTGCTCTGCAGGGACAGTGACTTGTCCCAGCTGGCTCCCCTCAGCAGCAATAGCAGCCTACAAATACCTCTGCTCAGGCCGTCCCACGCGTGGCTTGAGGCTGCCCTGAGCGACAGCCCTCCTTGCTGTCCGCAGGGCTYTCGTCACCCACCACTGCAGCAGTCCTGGGCTCTCCTCGGTGCTTCTGCGGCCGGGCACAGCCACGGGGCTGCAAGTAGGAAGGGGAAATTTCACTCACGGGTTGCAGTGTTGTTGGTAATTGCACACGGGTTCATTAGCGTTGCCATAAAACTGATGTTTGCATCTTCGGTAGGGCTCCTGATAAATGTGAAAGGCCCTCGTCCAAAACCCCTGGGCACTTGTCACAAAATTACAAGGCACTAGCTATCTCGTTTAAAAACTGAAACTCTTGTTCTTTCTATCACTCCGTAAATAACTATATTATATCATATTAAATATTGTCTAAATTCATAATCGGCTATAAACAGCTACTTCACTTCCTATCCATGTCTCTTTAGCACTTTATAGCAATGCTACCCAGCTATTGCATGTGAAGGAGACCTTGTGTGCTATATAGACAGCACTTTGTTCATTTTATTCACCCAGCCAAAAGGGACTTTAATGGCTAAAATGCTGTATGTTTGGTGTATACAATAGCTTAAAGGCATCTTTTCAAAGCCCTCTCTCTGTGGCACTGCACATTTTCTAGCTACAACTAAGAACTTTTATTTTTAACTGCTTCCTGCAAAACATTTTCTGTGGACATAAGCTGTAAGTGCAAATATCTTTTATTTAAGAAAACCAACAGACCACCACATTAATAATTACTACTCAAGAGGAGAAGAATGCTCTCTAGATGGCTTAAAGCTAGGTGAGTAGTAAATGAAATAAATAAACAACAAAAAGAGAAGAAATTGCCATTTTGAGACACTAGTACATTYTTCTCTTGAGGAAAAGCCTGTGGCATAACTCTCTGATGCGCAGACACTCCTTCCCAAGGGTGTACCTGACCCGGGAACATTTAACATTTGTTTTTCCTTTTTTTCTGCCATGCTAGTGAGATKGTCTGCTGCCCTCCCATCAGCAGCGATCAGTCTCTGGAGATTAAAGTCAAAAATCACTCAAGATACATTCCATGTCATGAGCACTTACTGGCGCTTATAGGTTTGCACAGCAGAGAAAGGTGGGGAAAAAAAAATCACAGTGGTGCAACAGGCTCTTAATAAGGCTACTGTAATTAATTCAATTGCTAAAATCTTCTCTGCACAATATAGATTTATTTTTTCTATTTATTATTTGTCCATCAGCTTTTACATGGCAAAACCCTAACACACAGCACACATAGAGGTGTGTTCCCTCCAACCCAAGGAATCCTCTGAGCATCTTCTRCATGAAAATAAGGATTTTACAGAGACTTCCCAATCATTCAAAATCAGTACTTAGCAATTCACTGCTTTCCACATCCTTAAAATCTGAAATAGTTGCAAACATTTATTCAAAATATTTCACAATCTGTTGCTCATTAAAATGAAAAATTGTGCTTAAATAAATATAGCTGGTACTTAAACAAATATAGCTACAGGCATACAARAAAAATCAAAATCCAGGAAAAAAAAATTGCATTTTTTTCAAGTTTGTTTCCTAGAGAAAGAATCCTTTCAATTTAAAAATCAAGGTTTTGTTTGGCTGGATTCAGTTTGACTTTTCCCCACAAAATGAAAATATACCTGAAACATCACTGTATTTACAAGATTGGAACAATCTGGAAAAAACTTTCTGTAATAGGAGTTCCACAAACAGACAACACTTCAAAGAGTAAACCTTTGCCTCTGCTTTATGCTAGGCAGCTAATTGCTGCCTTATGACTCTTCCTCAAGCATGTTCCCAAAACAGTCCTCAAGTCTTAAGGTGATGGATAGGTGGGGATGAATATTGATTYATTTCTGCTAATATTAGTGATAACAGTTTGCAGACTGTAATCATCAGTTTGAAGACTGTAGTCCCTTAAAGAGAAGAATTTCTTGTAGTTTGGGGAACATAGTATTGAAAATTAACTTCTCAGCATGTTCAGTGGATACTTGCCAAGTTTCAGTAAAGACCAATGATGAAAGCTACATCTCTTCTCTTTTACTAACTTCCGACTGTTTGATCTTACATCTGAATAACTCTTTTAAGGTTATTCTCAAATGTSCAGTATGCACATGTGTCAGAAAACACCTCTTCATAAAAACCCTCAGAGGACCATAGTCATTATTAAAAACAACTGAGGTAGATTTGAGTCTAAATCTATGCATAGCATCTCATATATTTCTTTGCCCAAGTAATACTTCTTTTCCTTCGAAAGATTTTGGGTTGTCTTAACACACACTCAAATTTGCTTCAAAATCCTGATATAAAACATGAAACTTCATAAAGAGGAATTAACAAAAGGAAGCGTCTTTTAGGGTCCATTTCTCCTCCTCTCCCAAACATCCTGGAACTAATTAATGCTAGGTTGATGAAACATACTTAATTTGCAGAACCTTCTCCTTTGGAATAAGCAAAACACCAACTGTAGAGAAGCTGAGAGAAATCTGCAAAAGAAGCTGGTTTTAGCATTAGTTGTGGACAGGTGAAAACATCTCCAGCCTAGATAATGGATGTGTGTGATCTGCTATATTGAGTTCCATATATTACACACCATCAGACTAGACTGCTCTGGAATATTCACTTCGTATCTCTATATTTAAAAATATTGAAAGTGTGTACCAATAGAAGAACCTGATCTTGGATTTGCAATGTCAAGCAGATCCARATGTCCATCCACAGGTCAGATCCTCTAAAAGGAGGCATAAAATCTTAGTTATGGCACTCCAGTCTCTTGGCCATTACAATACTTCAGCAAAGGTCAGCTAGTTAATGCACTCGAGTCAAGGAAGACATAACCAGCCCTGTGTGAGCTTTACTGTGAGCTGTTCTTTATTTTGGAATGTTATTCACAGCATTCTGTAATGATATTTAAGATATTTGCTTTTTTATATATATACATATATATTTCACAGGCAGAACATAGACACTGTGTAATGTAGAAGGGATTTGCAGGGAAAAATGCTACAGCACCATGAAACGATGATGTGTTTCTTAAAGAAGAGTTCCAAAGACTGGACATTCTCAGCACTGAAGTCCTCTTAGGTCAATAAAGCCAGACTTTCACACTAGAAATTCTCTTAGAGAAAAGGAATTAAGAACAATCTCAGGAATAAAGCTGTATGTTCACGGGCCAGCTAAGGTAAAGTCTGTTATCAGGAAAAAGTCATTATAGAGGAAAAGTTACATTAGTAATGAAGGAGAAGGAAACTCCTTGTTCTGGCCATATATTTTCCCATTAGCTGCAAAACAAATCTCCATCTCATTTTCTCAGATTGGAATTATATATGTGAATTAAAACTCCCCCAAGATCAAGGAGGTCATCAACATAATTCAAGTGTCTTTTCCAAGGTCACCCAACCTCAGCAACGCTGCCTCTACATAATAATGTATTCTGCCAT